GTATGGCGACTCCTCAAGAAAATGGGAATGAGTCTACCACAAGATCCAGCAATTCCACTCCTAGGCATATACCCAAAAGAAGAATATTCATGCAACAAGGACATCTGTTCAACCATGTTCATAGCAGCATTATTTGTAATAGCCAGAAACTGGAAGCAGCTTAGATGCACCACAACTGAAGAATGGATAGAGAAAATGTGGTACATTTACACAATAGAGTACTAGTCAGCAGAAAAAAACAATGGAATCTTGAAATTTGCAGGAAAATGGATGGAACTCGAAGAAACCATTTTGAGTGAGGTAACCCAGTCACAAAAGACAAACATGATATGTACTCACTCATATGTGGATTTTAGACATAGAGTAAGGGATTACCATCCTACAATCCACACTGCCAGAGATACTAGTAAACAAGGAAGACCCTAAAAGAGACAAACTTTGTCCCCTGGAGAAGAGGAAAGGGTCACCATTCCCTGAGCAAATTGAGATCATGGGAAGAGGGGGGAGGAAGCTACGAGAGTGAGAAGGGAAGAAAAGGAAGGATGCAGAGGTCATGAGGAAGCAGAAATTTTGAGTCAGGTGTAGATTAGAAGAAAGGACATATGATAGGTAGGATTTTAGTTGGGGGGATGGAAGAGGAGGAAGGGAGGGAGAAAGGAACTGGGATCATCATGTAATTCAATCTTGTTTGTAATTCAAATATAAAAAAAAAAAAGAAAAAAAGAAAATGGCTCCCCAAGTTCATGGCACTCTTAAGAGGTGTGGCCTTGTTGGAGGAAATGCATCATTGTGGAGGCAGACTTTGAGGTCTCATATATGCTCAAGCCACACCTGGTACCTTAGTTCACTTCCTGTTGCTTACAAGATGCAGGATTCTTAGCTACTGCTCCAGCACCATGTCTGCCTGCAGGCTACCATGCCCCACCAGGATGATAATGGAGTAAACCTTTGAAACTGTAAGCTAGCTCCAATTAAATATTTTCCTTTCTAAGAGTGGCTATGGACATGGTGTCTCTTCACAGATATAGAAACCCTAACTAAGACCGTGGGCTTGGGCAAAGTTATCAAGGTTCTCAGTGCCTCAGTTTCTTTCACAGTGTATTGCTATGATACAATAGTAATTTTAGAATTATCCATTTATTGTGAGGATTAAAGCACTTACAGGAATGCTTTGTCTAAATGAGCACTAAAGACAAATGCTGCTACAGCTCTTCTATTGTTTCTGTCATTATGTTACCATGTGAGACAGACACTTGTTTGCACACTGAATAATCCACAATGCCCAGATGGGTCCCTAGCACAGAGGAAACATCCCATCAATGTCTGTATAAATTGCTCAGTAGTTTATATGCCTCATTAGAACCTCACCAGGTCAACACTAGTAATGCCTTACTGATAGGAAATGAAGGGTTATATAAGCATCAGGGGACTTTCCGAAGACTTAGACTTACACCTTGGTACTTTTCTAATATACATTGAGTTCCAGAGATGGTATCACTTAAATAGAATATTTTCACTTCGATCCTGTAAAGCCTTCTAGAAAGTTAAAAAAAAATTTAGCAACAGTATCCAACTTGCTGTCCAGGAAGAAAGTCAACTCTCTGTAAGCCCTGTGAAAGTAAATGAGTCATACCGTTGGCTTTGGTGGTCTTCGGTGCTGAGATGGCAGATCTTGTTGAATTAGGCACCACTGGACAACCATCTCTGTAAAGCACACAAAGAAATAACAATTACAAAGGTTTCAAGATGTTTAAACACCCTTTGGACCACTGTTTAGTCATTTCAGACTTTATGGGCTTAGTCCAGGCATCCTGCAAAGTGTGGACAGGATTTAATGAAATTCTCCATGTGTGTCTGTAACTCCAGTGCTCCCACAGTGATATGGAAGATGGATGCAGGACAATCCAACAGTCCTGGAAACTTGAAGGCCAGCCTGATGTATGTAATAGTGAACATGAAGCCCTCTCTAAACAAAGTGAAAAGTGAGGCCTACACCATGTGTCCTTGGTTCTCTATTGCTGTGAAGAGACACCATGACCTTGGCAACTCTTACAAGGAAAACATCTAATTGGGGATGGCTTACAGTTTTAGAGGTTCAGTCTATTAACATCGTAGTGGGACATGGTGGCATGGTGCTGGGAGAGGTAGCTGAGAGTTCTACATCTTGCAGGTACCAGGAAGTGGTCTGCCTCACCGGGAGTAGCTTGAGCATAGGAGACCTCAAAGCTCACACACCCCACAGTGACACATTTCTTCCAACAATTGGCATCTACTCCAAGGAGACCACATTTCCTAATAGTACCACTCCCTTTGGGGGCCATTTTCCTTCAAACCATATCATGTGAGATATATACTCATATCTTCCCCACCCTCTCCTCACAAAGGTTAAAAAAAAAGAAGACGAAGGATGACTTTTTTTTCTTTTCTTTGCCCTTCTCCTCTCCTTTAGTCCAGGCTGGCTTAAGCTTGTTCTGTAGCAAGGGTATGTGAACTACAGATCTTGCTTTGGGTTCCCACATACATTGATTCTAGGCATGCACACACCACCATGCTCAGCAAGTGCTGTCCTTATTATTACTACTGTTAATGACAGAGCTGCAGATTGAACTAAAAGCCTCAACACTGAACTGTGTCTCCACTGAGAATTAACTTCTGCACATCATCTTTCTGCAGGCTTTAGCTCAGCACTCCGTGCTGGTGCTCATCCCACTTGGGAACATGGTAATCGAGATGGGTTGACAACTTAACTCAGTGGACAGTTCAAAGGTAAGTTTACCAAGTTTTTATATATAGAGCCTTTGGTATGAACACGCCTTTCTTTCAGAATAGGGTGAAAAAAAAAAAAAAACCCTTTATTCTAAGAATCACACAAAGAACATTACCACCCAAAGTCAAGAGCAGCCACAAAGTAAGCAAGCAGACTGGGAATAGGGGCTAGCATATCAGTTTGCTGATACTCAAGAATGCCTAAGGGCACTGTGATGGCAGATGCATATACCACACACCCTCAGCACACCTGTATGGTCCTGCTGGGCTGCTTAAGAATGTAAAGTCTTATTCATCCCTAGTACACAAATGGTCTTTGGGAGCCCACTCCACATAGAGGGATACTCTCTCTGCCTAGACACATGGGGGAGGATCTAGGCCCTACTGCTCCAAATGATATGACAGACTTGAAGATTCCCCCATGAAAGGCCTCACCCTTCTGGGGAGCAGAATGGGGGTGGGATATGGGGCCAGTGGTGGGCAGGATAGGAGGGGAGGGAGAGGGAACTGGGACTGACATGTAAAACAAGCTTGTTTCTCATTTAAATTAAAAAAAAATAAGAGTGCAAAGTCTTTACATCTTTAACACAAGCTATTTCTCAAGGTTATGTTTGCAAGGAGCGACCTAGAGATCTGCAGCATCTTCAACAAACTGAAGCAAACCCGGCTCTCTTCATAGGCTGCTATGAAATGAGGGTTCCTCAGATAACTTCAATAATAATCCTCTCCTGTGATATAAGTTTACTATGGTCTCCATCAGACTCACACACACCTTTTCAAGGACCTCTGGACAAAACATGCAATCCACAAAGCTCATGCTGCTTGCTGTGCCATTAGTAATAAAAGTCCTTTTACTTCTTGAGGCACATCGTCTTCTGGAATCCATTAAATAGTATCAGGCTAGAGTCACTAGCTTGCAATTAAGTCTCTGACAATTAAGTCCTTTTATAGTCTCTGACACACAGAGTCACCTCAAATGTCCAACCTTCCATTATTGCTTCTATTATTTATTATGGACAGTGAGTGTGGAGAGAGTTGAAGAAAGAACATGGAAGACATTACTCAGACATCTGAAGAGACAGCAGCTAAGACAGGAAGAAAGGGAACAGAACGCCACTCCAGGACCAGGTGAAGAGTGTTCCCCTGATTTTGAGGTAAAGGATTGAGCCTATACCTAAGCTTGATAGGGATGTGAGTTTCCACACAATAGTTTCTCTTTCCCATTTCTTCCCCTTCACTGAGGAAAACAACTATGTATCAATCCAAAGTTTAGATACACAGAGAGTCAGGTCAGGGATTAGGAAAAAGTACACCGTCTAAAAAGAACAAGCAAGTTTATCAATGGTTTCCTGTTACACTTGTATTTTGGAAGAAATTATTAATAGACACACTGTCAATTTTCCCTCCACATAGCTTAGCTCAGTCTACAACCGAGAAAGCCTGGGTTCATGGGTGCCGTGCGTGGTCTGTACTCTGATGATTATTCCATAGTGCAGAGAACATGTGAGATGCCACTTTACAGAGCAGAAGAAACAGGACTTTAACTTGGATTATTAGGAACCTGTCATCATTGCTGGAGCCCTAACAAGTCAAAGATGAGGCAGGAAAATCAAATCAAAGCCAGAGAAAGACTGGGTAATAGACACAGGGCCTTTGACCACAGAGGGGTCAAGAAGCCAAGGAAAGTGGTGAGGGCAAGGCAGCTGGATTCTTCTTGTAACCTACACCTGGACTTTATCCATGAGATCCATTTGTATTTCTGACCTCAAAAACAAACTGCAGAGATGATAATCTTGTGTTGTTTACAGAACTTTGTTAGAGAAACCATAGGAAATCAATACCCATGTTTTCTTAACATTTTCCTCTGCAAGTAGAGGAAACTGCATTTGCATTTAATGCTATGGGCATGGCTCTTCCATGCCTCAACAGCTGACGTGAATTCCAGGAGGGCTGATGCCACCCTTGTTCTATGAATGAGGCATAATTGCCCAAAGCCACCTGATTTATCTCCATCTTCTGCTGCAGTTTAGAGAGTGACCCTCTCAAAGTCCTAGGCACTCACTGTTTATCAGTGGTGGCTGCAGAGATGTCCCCTGGAAGATGGTTCTGGATGATGTGGTGTGGAGGTTTAAGATACATAACTGACACAACCATCTGACCACTACAGAGAAAACTGATACAAACAGGGGATAATGGCAAACAGCACAAAGGAACCTGATGACTACCTTATTATTACTTTGAAATTATGTGAAATTCCAGAGCTGTATTTCTGTTACTTGCAACTGAAGACATTCTGATACATGCTAATTGCCTATTAATTGGAATCAGGCTGCAACACTTGCCTGCTTGGTTTCTCAGACTCTGTCAGGAACTCTGTCTAATGTTACTCTTCCAACAGCTTGAGAATTAGTAGTTCTGCAAAGCCCAGTACCTTGTTGCTTTCAGCACCACTGAAGGAAGTGACAGGTCCAACGCTCTGTTTGCTTCTTCCAATGTCATTCCTTGTGTGCTGACTCCATTCACATAATGGATGATATCCAATAGCTGCAGGTTGCCTTCAACAGCTGCAACTGACCTTGGGTTAATGTCACTAATATACACTACTTCATGTGGACTGCCATGACCTCCAGATAGAGAAAATCCTTCAAAGAATAGAAAACAGTCGTTTGTCAGTCACAGGACTCTTAATTTAATTATGCCGAGAAAGTCTACCTAACAGCCTGTGCTTTTCTTACCTAACTCCTCTTTGTGGCGTGTTACTGTAATGTCAGGCAGCAAATGGGGAAACACTGGCATCCTGGGTAACTCTAGGATCCGCCCAATAATTAATCTGACGACCTTGGGTGTAGCTCGAAGCAGATTCACAGCATCGGTGTGGGTCATGTTTGTAACATCTGTATCATTAACCTACAAAAAGAGAGAGAGAGAGAGAGAGAGAGAGAGAGAGAGAGAGAGAGAGAGAGAATGAGAATCTGATTATAATAAGTACAAGATTTATGGTGATGTCATCTCTAATTTGTTAGAATCCTGTTCCCTGCAGAAATCATAGGGACAATGATCAAACCATTGTAAGCAATATAAAGTTGCTAATAAATGAACAAATACTTTACTGTTCTGCTAAAATATGAATTTTATCGTTCAGAATTTAAGAAACTTGCTGTCTCATGCACTTGAGAGACCCTGAGGAGATTAAAAGGACTTGCAGTTGAAGCAATTCCCAAATAGCTATTTTTGAAGGCTGTATTGGAGAATGACCTCATCCTCCTGCTTCTACAACCCAAGTGCTGGGATTACAGGTCTGTGCTACTGAGCTAGGTTTATGGAGTGCTGGGGTTTGAAACCCAAAGCTTCCTGCAAGCTACACATGCACACTACCAACTGGGCTACATTCCCTGTGTGCCCCTCTTTGGGTCCCATGTTGAACTCATTATGCTGCAGTCAAGAATGACATTGAATTTTTGATCCTAACACTTCTACCTCCCTAGTGCTGAGATGACAGGCATGTGACACTGTCTTGCTGAAGCCTTCATTTTTAAAGTGGTGGGGAATGAAAACATAAACCAAAGAAACTGTCAAATTAACTCAATGTCCTTCCTTCTTCAGTGCTGACTTGCCTTTGGTCACTGATATGGTCTGAATGTGGCTCGTATGTTCCCCAGAGACTCTTGTGTGTTAGAAGCTAGGTCTTCAGTAGGAGCTTTAATTGTGAAGTCTAGTCAGGGGGTGTGCCTTCTGGCATCTTTTTGAGATGTGATTTCTTCCTTTCACACAGGTATTGTGGTAGTTTGAATGTAATTGACCCCCATAAGCTCAAGGAGAGTGCCACTATTAATAGGTGTGGCCTTGTTGAAGTAGGTGTAGCCTATGTTGGAGGAAGTACGTCACCGTGAGGGCAGATTTTGAGGTCTCCTATGTTCAAGCTATGCCTAGTTCAGTTCACTTCCTGTTGCCTTTGGATAAAGATATAGAATTCTCAGCTTCTTCTCCAGTACCATTTCTGCCTGCATGTCACCATGTCTCACCATGACGACAATAGACTAAAATTCTGAGCTATAAACTACCCAATTAAATTTTTTCCTTTATAAGAGTCATGGTCATGGTGTCTCTTCACAGCAATAGAAACCCTAACTAAGACAGATATGATGCCTTCACTAGGGCTGAGCTCCCACACTGTGGGCTGGATAAATTTCTTTTGTTTTAAAAGTTGGCTTATGTAAGGAATTTTACAATAGTCACAAAAATTGGATCAAGAGAGTCACATTTGTACAAATATCCCCATTCCACTTAAATGTCTCATTTAATACAAATTTTTCTTGTGCACATGAGTGTTTTTTGTGCATCTATGCCTGTACCATCTGTGGGCCTGGTACTTGCAGATTCCTGAAGAGGAAACTGAGTTCCCTGGAACTAGAGTTACAGAAGGTTGTAAGCCAACATGACAGTACAGGGAATCAAACCCAGGTCCTCTAGAAGAGCAGCCAAGCTCTTCCACCACCAAGTGTCCCTCCAGTCCCCAAATGTCTCACCTTTATAAGGCGGTCTCCAGGCTTCAGCCTTCCATCCCCCTTGGCTGGATCCTGTACAACATCATGGACATAACAGCCAATACTGTGGCTTCCTTTGGTCACTGTAAATCCCAGACTTCCTTTTTCTGATTTAATTAGGGTGATGTGAAGCTCTACTTCCTAGAGAAAGAGCAGTTTGATTTATGGTTGTCTACTTTGTCCTATAGACAAACACACATGAATACTGTTGCTCTTGGTTCAGAGAGGAGAAACCCAAATCCCAAGCTGAGTTAACTTGGCCACAAAAAGTTTTCTCAATTCTAGATAGAATGTTCCTTTCTTTCCAAGCATGTGACATTTTGAAGTATGAAGTTAAATGTTTGTCTCAAGACTCTTTCCTCCCTCCTTCTTGTTCTTCACGTTTTTCCCCCCTATCTGAGAGAGCTGGGATTGAACACAGAGCCTTATACATGCCAGGTAAGGCTGTCCCCAGTGAGCTGCACCTCAGCCCACCTTTGGTCTTCATATACAGGATAAGCAAGGAGGCCCTGTGATGGGGGATACCCTTCTGAACATATGTTTCTCTTATTGGTTGAAGAATGAAACACTGTGTGGCTAGTGGCCAGGCAGGAAGGATAGGCAGGGCTACCAGGCAGGGAGGAGATGCCATGTGAGACCAGGAAGGTAGGATGTGCTGGACCCTTCTCCGGTGAGATAAGACCACATGGAAATATTTAGACTAATAGAAATGGGTTAATAGTTAAGACAGAGCTAGCCAATAAGGAGCCCTAGTCATTGGCCAACAGTTTCATAATTAACATACCATCTGTATCTTTATCCCGCAGGGTGAAAGGCTGCGGGTACCTCACGTTACAGCTGTGGGCATGGTGTCTTTTCACAGCAATAAAAACCCTAACTAAGAAACATGTCCAGTACTGTAAATCACACCAAGAACACACAGTTGGAGTGTTCACAGGCTCCAGGAACCAACCTACTACTATTATTTTGTTAAATAGACAATTTTCCCTCTAAATTTGTTAATTCTATACCTAAATACTAGTGCCTTTTAGACCTCACCAGAAAAGTGTTTTTGTAGAGTGAAAAATAGTTAATGCAGGTACTCCCAAAGTACAGAGACTATTGTATGGAGAATTGAGACATAAATGGGACACTTGTATTATATACCCTTCCCCAAGGTCCACAGGCCACTGTGGAAGAGGGGGTGGGAAGAGTGTAAGAGCCTGAGGTTAGGAAGGACTGGTGTGGAACTGTATCCTCTGGACACAACAGGACCACTGTCCTCATGAACTCACAGCAGCTGTGGTAGCCTGCCCAAGACTAAGTCAGTCAACTCTGCAGCACAGAGGGAGGGAGGGACTCATGTGGCCCTGTCTCCAGCTGAGGGGCCACTGACAAGCTGATGAGAAAGGGCGAGTCAGTTTTCTTAGAGAGTGTGGCCACCAGTGGGTCAACCACGCTGCACTCAATAGTCTCACATCCATGACTATACAGGTGGCACAAACTGGACTTGGTGGGTTATTTAGGAAAAAAAAAGAGGGGAACTTGAGCTTGGGTAGAGATGGGGGGATGGGAATGGATCTGGGAGGAGTGCAGGGGAAAGAACTGGGGGGTGATTGTGATCAAAATACGTTTTATGTATGAATGAAATTCTCAGTTATCTCTCATATAGTTTTAACTCTCTATATACATATATACACACACACATATATATATTTAAAGGCTATTACATATATACATCTGTATTATTTAAATGTATATTAAATAGCATATTCCAGTTATATGCACAAAAATTTAAAGAAAATTATATTCAAGTATTAGAAACCCACTAACTCATGATGAGGAGAGAATTTAGTCAGGAAAGTGCTGCTACACAGGCATGAGAGACTGAGCTGAATCCCTGCCACCCACATAAAAGCTGGCCGTGGTGGCATGCACTTGTAGCGTCAGCATTGAGAGGAGGAGACAGGAGGATTCCTGGGGCTTGCTGGCACAGTCTATCCCAATTTGTGAGTTCTGGGACAGTGAGGGACTCTGTTTCAAACAAAGTGGATAGCACTTATGAGTAATGAATAGCACTCAAGACTGTCCTTTGGTCTTCCCAAGCGTCTATACACATATGTGAACCCCCTCCCCCCATACATGAATGTGTATGTGTGGCGCTCATGTAGGCACACACAAGTGCACATGCACACACTCTCTCAGTAGGTATAAGCCAGGTATGATGGTGTGTGCTTAGTAATTCCAGCACTGAAGAAGCAGTGACAAGCCCATCTCTGGAGCTTGCTGGCCAACTAGCTTAGCCCATTTGGTGAGTGGCAAATGAGAGACTCTGTATCAAAAAATCAAAATGGATGGCTCCAGAAAAACAATGTCTGAGGTTGACACACATACACAGATACACCCATGTGAACGACACATCCATATGCATGTGTGCACACATGCACACACACGGAAAGTCAACATAATTCACCGAGATCTAAGATATAAAAACAATGACAAGCACCTGTGTGTAGCAGTGTCTAAGCATTATGCTAGCAGTTTTATATATGGAATTTAATGCAATTGTTTCCAGTCTTCTGAAGCCACCAGCCCCACTGCACAGCCAAAGCTACCAGGACTCTGAAGAATTAGGGGATTTGTCTGCAGGTGTCTGCCAAAATGGCAGCAAGGAGGTGAGAAAGTCAGGGCAACATTTCACTTTCCCCCAATTTCTCACCAGCAAAACATCAGAGAGGGCTGTTATTCATTTATAAATGCAATATGAGCTTTGCTCCAGCTAACAGAAAATGCATACATCTATACCTCCATTGAGAAAAAAGGCAATCATTTTATTGTCTGTAATAGATAAAGAAGCTCACCAGCTCAGAGTCCTCAAGGTGGTTTCCCAAGTCATTTTTCAAAGTTGTCAGGTTTTCTGGTTTGCTCAGCTCTGCAGCAAGATGTGTATAATATTTCCCAACTGAGTCAGAAGCATCAAATTGTGACTGGGGCTGACACATCTGTCCAGGACTCACATCTGGCAGTGGCAGAGGAGGATGGCGGCTATAGAGGTAAAGGAAGCAGCGCTATTTGTAGACACATTTCAGTGTTGATATTTAGTCAATGTTTCTGTCTGGTCTTGAGTGACAGCCTCACCAGCTTTTATCTGCTTTCACACTATGTTAGATAAGGACAGTAAGACAAGCTAGACTTGAGTATACTTTCTATTCCTAGTTGCTATTCAAGATGGAAGCTAATGTTACCAGGGGTCTAAATTTGATTTCTGCCCATTAAGAAAAGGAGAGATTAGAACAACATTTTACTCCTGTGGTCATTTACCTGTTTACTTAAATATTTATTTTCCAAAAGTGGGGATTGAACTTAGCGTTTTATCCATGCTACACAAGTGCTCTGTTCTTATCTCCTGCTCTTGGTAAACTGTTTTATTTTTTAAATTTGAGAGAGTCTAGGCTGGCCTTTTAACTCCTTCCTCCCTCAGTCTTCCAAGTACCTGGGATGACAGGCCTGGTTGCTGTGGTCACTTTAGATGAAAGAACAGAAAGGAGGGAGGGGAAAATGTAGGCAAGTGTGGCTGGACAGAAACACACACAGACACCAACAGCCAAGGTGCCCAGTATACGTGGTGGAGCTGAGCTGTCTCCAGCCCACCAGATGGGGCATTCTTAGAACAATACATATTGCTGCTGCTGCTCTGGACACTCTATGCAACACTGGCAATACCTGTCCTCGAATTCCAGTTTGCTGGGCATTTTCTGAGGGAAGTAAAACATGGTACGTTTGGGTTCTTCTTGGCCTCTGGATGCTTCATGTTGACTGTGCTCCTGTGATACCATGTTGCTCAGAGATGGAGTCAAAGCTGAAGCCAAGGTTACATTTGGTTTCTTGGCTGAAGCTCTCGTAAAGTCATCCTCTCCACTCACGCTGCTGTCACTGGAGCTCTCTCTCCTGGACGGACACTTGCGCTGCTCCTTGTTTCTGCCGGATGTCTCAGTCTCATTCGAGGTGGTACTATGCTCTGCTGAGTATGGTGGCTGAGAAGGCTCTTTGCTGCTGTTTAGAAGCACTTGTGCTGGAGAGTGGAGTGGAGTCTGGAAGGGACACAGTGAAGGACATCAGAAGTTACAAAGGGCTTTATCTTTAGAAAGTCAACTAATTATGAACCCAGTACACCAACCCATGAGGAAACAACAGCAGCAGCTAGTAACCGCTGTTTAGCACACTAGATGGATAATCTACTACAACAGAAATTAGTGTCCAAGAACCTTACCGAGAATGCAGTATCAATTTCTGGTAGCACTCCTGGTGGGGGTCTGCAGAGGAGCAAGGACACTTCAGAAGCTGTTCCCCTGAGAGCAGATATGACTTCCTAGAGGCAAGGGGGGAAAGATGGAGATGAGGCAGCAGGAAGTAAGGACAGCTCACCCACTGGCCCACCTTCAAATCCTCGCTCACCTGTTGAGATAGTCCCTTCAAGGAGGCTCCGTTCACCTTCAATATAACATCTCCAACATCAATTTTTCCACTTTCTGCAGCTGGCTGTCCAGGGAAGAGCTTTTTAACCCTTACGATGCTGGCATTGGTTTGTTCTGGCACAAGATTATCTTCTCGAGAAAAACTGAATCCTAGGCCCGAGCTATTCTTAAGCAGCTTGACCTCAAATGTATTATCTAGAGAAAAAGTTAAATATTATTGAGTATGCATGCATGAGCACATAGACACACACATGCACACACTCTCTTATACACTTCTAAAGAAGCCTGTTTTGGCATACACATGCACACTTTCTCACACGCTTTTAAAGAAGCCTGTTCTGGCACACTTTTTTCAGAACTCACTGTACTATCGCATACTCTCTTCCTAACGTTGGGAAAGCTTTCTTATTTTTTCATATGTGTGTGGTGTGTGTGTGTGTGTGTGTGTGTGTGTGTGTGTGTACAACAACCAGAGGTTGATGTGAAGTGCTTTTCTGTCACTCTCCACCTGTTGTTTTATTTTTTGAGACAGGGTCTTTCACTGACTCATTACTGGAGTTCACTGATTCATTACTGGTCACCAGTTAACATTACAGATATATCCACCATGCCCAGTTTTCCCATCGGTGCTGGAGATCCAACCTCGGAACTTCATGTTTGCTTTGCAGAAGGTGATGGACCAAGCCATCTCCCCAACTCCATTCATAAAACTGGAGTTAACCGTCTGAATGCGAATCATTTGTAAAGTAGAGTCATGTTTCAATGTTTTAAAAGGAGTACACTAAATTAAAAAAAGGGGAGGCGAGGATTACAAAGAAATTCAGGTATACAGTGAAGAGACATTAAGAATACCAAAACATCCTTCAGGTGTGGGAAAATTAGTTGAAACTGCAACGTTCTGGTAAGGCATTAAGTTATAATGACATTCCGACAAAATTCTCATAAATAAAATACATTAATAGAATTAAAAACAGAAAAAATTGCACAAAGAGCTAAAGAGGAAAATGATTAAGTAGGTACATTCCCTTCAAGTTCACAGTCAAAACAGTAGTATAGGCTGGTCGTCTATGTTCTGAACTGATTCAGGGTGACTAAGATTTGTGAAATAAATAGAAATTTAAATAAGACAGAAAATATTTACTGTATATACCATCACCAATTCTAAAGCGAGAGCATGTGAGCCACTTATGGGATCTCAGAAGCAGGGCTCGTCAGCCTCGTGAGAACTCATGCAGCAGCCAGCTTCTTTTCTTGGCTTATTACCAATTATTATTATGATTATATAGGCTGGTACATTGTGAAGAAGACCAGCATTTGGGAAATACTAAATAGATTACTGTGCAGGGTAATCCTAAATAGAAAAATAAAATCTTTAGAGCTAGGGGTGATGGCACAGGCCTGTAATCCTAGCACTTCAGAAACAGGCCAGTGGATTATATAGTGAGCAACAAGGCCAACTTAGTTATGGAGTGAGATCCTCTCTCAAAATGAAAACCAACCCAAAACAAACAACCAAACAAAAACTTAATGTGTAGATGGGTTTGAAGCCATTCTCAGCAATTATATATACTTAATTTTTCCTTACCAAATTTCATTTAAAATTTAACAACTACATAATATAGCTGCTGTATATTCTGCTACTTGAGGTGAGAGGGCTGCTCTTTTATGAATGAGACATAATCATGTCTCAAGAAACCAAATGAACACTACAGGATAAATTACTGCTGTGTGTAGAAAACCTAACAGCTATTTATGGTAACTATTATATAACCACATTCAGACATGACTTCATTGTTCTAGACCTTCAAGTGTGGTTTGGTCAGGCTGGTGCTGCCTGAGTTTTATAACTGACAAGAACAGAGATACTGAAGTATGAACTTTAATAGGTGGAGGAATTTAGTGACATGACCTGAACTGCAGGCCTGACCTTCAGTAACAAAGCTGTAGTCTTTGACATAAGCTGTTTTCTTCACCATCTTCTCTGGGGCGTCACCTTGGGCATCCTGGCCTGGAGGGTTGCACTGTGCACTTGCAGGATCAGGTTCTTTGGGTGTCGGTGAGTGCCCCTTTTCTATCAGTAGATGAACCACCTGAGAAAACACAACAGTGTATTGCCAACTGAGAAGACCAGAAAACTAGATCAAGTTATAGGACTCTGTATAGCTGGAGGTATAATAAAGTAACTAATTGCTTGGTATACTAAAATATAGATACAGAGAAAGAACAACATAGAAACAGAAGAAAGGAACTGAAAGTCTTACAGTTTTTATTACTTTCTGCATGAGAGTAAGAGAAAATGCTATTATAAAACATGCCAAAAAATGCACACACTGAAAGTCTTACAGTTTTTATTACTTTCTGCATGAGAGTAAGAGAAAATGTTATTATAAAACATGCCAAAAAATGCACACATGTCATATGTACACATACACACACACACACACACACACACACAAACATATATAACATATACATGTGTATGTGTGTTAGAGATAATTTGGGTACTGGGGGAAAGTCACAGTAACTATAAAGACCATTATAAATGATTTGTTCAACTCCTGCTTGAAAAGATATTTGAACACAATAAATTTAGCTCTTGGATTGAAAGATGACAGGAGTAGAAAATTCATTAGACATTTGTAGATGCTCATGAAACATTCAAAAATGCAATTTCCACCACTTCCCATTAGTTATTCGATAAGCAGTGTTAAACACCAACAGACTGAGCCTCGTTGGTGGAGAATCTCATCAGAGTACATGCTTCCTGACTTGGAGGAAAACAATGGTATGAACAACACAGTGCTGAGTGGCTGCACTGCCTGCCTTGGCTTCCCGGCTGACAGGTCTGGGTGAGACTGACATTATTTCCACACGGCTGTGCTCTAAGGTATAGTGGTCTCTTACCTGCCCTGTGCTTCTTAGTGTTTCCACAGCTTGCTTGTGGGTAGCTCCTTCCAGACTGACGCCATTAACAGCGAGCACACGATCACCTGTAAGTTAGAAAGTTGATTTCAAAGAAGTGAATCCTTAAAAAAAAAAAAAAAAATTCTATAGGGTTTTTAATACCCAGTGGCTTATTTCACATTTATCTGAGAAAAGACTCAAGGCAAATTTTAGAGAACTGAATACTGTTGAAGTATTCCTGATAATTGAAAACAATGCATGAAGGAAATGCTTTTAACTTCAGTGGCTTTCACAGTGAGGCCTTGCTCCACCCAGGCTGGCCATAATGTGTGACCCTTACCCCAGCTTGCCAAGTGCAGGATTGTAGGTATACACCTACTGTCTGGCTAGAATAATATGAATTTGTATCAATGCCCTTAAATCAAGAAAGAGAAGCTGAGCTGTAACTGCACAAAGTGAAAGAAAGCACCTTTCTAAGCAAGCTCTTAGGGACAGTCAGTGACCATGGCTGAGCAGGGAAGAAGCTACTTTCTGCTGCTATAGAATCAGTGGGAAGATGAGTTGTTGCTATGTCACCAAGTAGTTTTCTAAAATACAGCCTCAAAGCTGAGCGTGTTCTTACGTGACTCTATGTTCTTATGAACTATGTAATGCCGTTTTTCTTCTTTCTTGTTTTTTTTGGAGACAGGGTCTCTCTCTTTCTGAATAACCTGAAACTCACTATGCAGAGGCCTGAAAACTCAGAGATCTACCTGCTCCTGTTTCCCAAGTGCTGGGGTTAAAAACAAGCACCATCACATTTGGCCTTAATTTTTATTTATTGTGACATTTAATTCCTGTAATTCCTGGATCCATGTGGACATCATACCTTTGTGAATTCTGCCATCTGACTCTGCTGCTCCTTTGGGGATAATGGCTTTCACGTAAATACCACCGTGTCGGACGCTGGTATTCACACCTCCCTAGATAGAAAAGACAAAGTACTGTGTGTTAACATGAAAACATTTGCATGCTTTCACATCCGAGCACTAGGAAGGGTTCGAGTCATCAGAGAAGGCTGTGACACTGCATCCGCATGTTCAGTTATTTTTAACAACCTGCAACACTGTTCAGCTAAGCTCCCCAAACAGCAAAGTCCATTTGCTCACTGAACTCAGAAGGTGTCAATCTGCTGCATCTTGACTAGATGAGGACCTGTCCTTCCTTTCTTTGTCATGAATTATGAGCAAGCAGATAGCAAACTCCGTCTATGCAAGATCAGTGTAAGAACATAATCCCAAGAAACACCTAGTGTATGCACATTAGATTATATCTGCCAATCTGAGAGCAAGTGAGAGAGAGAGAGAGAGTGAGCACATCAGGTATATTTCTGAGAGTTCCAGCAGAGTCTACATAATGAGTTACAGGCCAGGCAAGAACACATGGATAGGCTCTGTCTCAAAAACAAACAAACAAAAAAAACCCAAAACAACAAAATAAAATAAACCTGAAGTAAATAAACAAAACAGACTGGTAGGAGAGATTGTGTGTTTGTATGTACACATGCAAGTGTATGTACCTCTGTGCAAGTGCACGTGTGTGTGTGTGTGTGTGTGTGTGTGTGCGCGCGCGCGCGCGCGCGCGCACACGTGCACTCACGCGAATGTTAGGCTAGAGGCCAATGTTGGATGTCTTTTTAATTCTCTAATTTTGAGGTATGGTTTCTTTCTGGACATGGAGCCTCTCTGACTAGGCTGGATTGATCAGTAAGCACTGGGATTCACCTTCTTCCCCAGTGCTGAGCTACAGGTGTGAGCTGTGTATCCAGTTTTTATTGTTTTGTTTGTTTTTTGAGAGAGGGTTTCTCTGTGTAGACCTAGCTGTCCTGGAACTCACTCTGTAGATCAGGCTGTCCTTGAACTCACAGAGATCCACTTGCCTCTGCCTCCCCAGTGCTGGGACTAAAGGTTGTACTACCACCACCTGGCCAAATAATATTTTTGTCGTTGTTTTGTACTTTATGTGTGTAAGTGTTTTGGCTCAAGTATAGTGTCCAAGGAGGTCAGAGACAGTTGTGAGCTACCATGTGGGTGCTAGGAATCAACCTGGGTACTCTGGAGGAGCAATCGGTTGTCTTAGCCACTGAGCCATCTCTCCAGATCCTCTGAGAAGCTTTTCAAAAATGCTGAAGTAAGGTCTAGTAAATCTGTTTTCCACCTTTCAAGAAAATGTATTATTCTTCTATCATAAAACAATGATGTAATTATAAAGGAAGTAGGAGAGAGAGGAAAGCTCTACAGTCTAAATGTAGGAACTAGGCTTTTGATCTCAGTATGTTACAGTGCTGATTTCATTGGCTTTAACCTTGTGCTTTATGTAATGATCAGGCACTCTTAGAATGTGATCAATGATAAAGCTGCAATTCAGGAATAACATATTACAGAATTCTAAAATAACTTTATCAGATAGTTTATGTATATAACTACATTGTCAGCCAGGCGTTGGTGGCGCACGCCTTTAATCCCAGCACTCGGGAGGCAGAGGCAGAGGCAGGTAGATCTCTGTGAATTCGAGACCAGCCTGGTCTACAAGAGCTAGTTCCATGAAAGCCTCCAAAGCCACAGAGAAACCCTGTCTCAAAAAGGAAACAAACAAACAAACAAAAAAGCAACCATAACTACATTGTCTTAAAGATACATGTACAGTTTTGAAATCTCTATTAAAATGTTTTAAAGGTGTTAATGAAGGTTTTAAACAAGGTAATATGTATCTTGCAGAGAATTGGTACATAAATTATTATGGTCACTAGTTATTCACAGACTAGGTGAAAGACAGCAGCTCTTGATTTGACACTCATGCAGAACCTGTCAGGTGCATACTAAACAAATATATCAATTTCATATTCTGCACATGCTATATTTAAATTATGTAAGTATTTAATGTATGAAGAACAGGAAATTGCCATTGTTTTAAACCACAAGAAAAAAAGAGTAGTGTAAAAGCTAAAAAAAAGTTTTAAGACAGTCAATTTTTAGATTTTTGGAAAAATTTGACACATGTCCCCTCTAAAGCAAAACAATTCAACTACTCAGTTGGGCTACTACAGACTTCTGGAAGTGAAGTAGAGAAAAGGCAAAAACCTTGGCAAACAGTACCGTGACACTTATTCCCAAGCTGTTATCACTTTTAGCCAGTTCAACCTCAAAGATTTCTCCAGGCTTAGGAGGTGATGCAGAGAAAGTTCTAAAGCTCATTTTGTCGCTTGTATTCACTGAGGAGGAAGGTTCCTTAACAAAGACAAACAAACAAAAGAAGATCCTAATTAGAGCCGAAATGAACTGCTAGTGGAAACCAGTATTGTTTTTGTTTGGGGTGGGGGGAGTTTTCTTTTAAAGCAAGTTACTAGGGAAGAGAATATATCAAAAACACAGAGGCCAAGAGACTTTCCAGACACTATCAGTTCAGGGCACCCTTATTTTATTGTTTAGGAAGCTCACACCAGAAAAGAAACTAGATAAGGCAGAGGGAAACCTAGAACCCACTTAGAACTTAACTTTGGAAGAGCCTGTGCCCATACTCTGTAAAAGTCAACACACACCTGACTTACTTTGCTTATGTTTGCAAATTAAGTCTAAACAAGGGAGCAATGGCTAAGCCTCATGTCTGAGGGCAGAAAGCTCTTATGAGGAATACTGCCTCTTTTGTGAACAAGAGCTATGACTTCCTCTCTAAACCTTCTTGGGAATGTGTCATTTCTAGAATAAGCTGTTTCTATTGCTGCCACTGTCACCTTAGGACTCCAACTGCCCGTCCCATGAACTATTCACAAGCAGTTTTTCTGGGTCCTCTTAGGACACGTGTCCTAGTCAGTGCACAGCTATCTCAGGGTTAGTTTTCAAAGCCTCCACTCTGTAGGTCAGCATTTATTGCGGTAGCAGTGGTCAGGAGCTGACGACTCATGCTGCTCCTCCTTTGCAGAGACATGCAGACATGTAGAAGTTTATATTACTCCCTAATAGATTGACCATCTTCCTGTGTTGTTAAATGAAGTTAAGTGTTTATGTCCCCTCCACCCCCCCACTGCCCCAAGCATTAAAATGAAACCATACCTTTTTTGGTGTTTGATGATCCTGTTTGCTGGCAGTATCATCTATGTCAGAATCACCACGGTCAGAGAGCTCAGTTGTGTCAGAGATGCCTGGCCTTTTAGCTTTGCTTTGGTTACCATCAGAGAATATCTTCTCCGCAACCTTGGATGTTACAGTCTGGGATGGGCTGCCATGCTGTGAATCCTGCCATCCTCGGTGAAGTAAGTGGCTAGCAAAGAAGCCATTGACATGGCTCTGGGACAAGCTGGCACTTTCAGTCCTGGAGTCCTGGGAGCTGAGGCTTCCTTCCCGCAAGCCCCCAGAGAGCCCAAAAGGACTCTCTGTGATGTGCCTGAGAGTGCCACGTGGCCAGGGCTGGTCCTCTGAAGGGTCTGGAGCACCGTCCTGCATGTAGCAAGGTTTCTTCATGTAGTTTTTCATCCCACTGGCAACATGCACAGGAGTAGAAGGCACTGAAAGTTAAGGTTCATAATGAAAACAGTAAGTCAAGTGACAAACATGCCTACAGACATACACACAAGCACACATATTCACACATACACATACATGCAAATACACATGCATACACATACACACATGGCTCATGGATGTACACACACACACACACACTTTTTTGAGGCAGGGTCTTACTACGTCTACCAGGCCTGGAACTTGCTATGTTGGCCAGGCTGGTGCCAAACTCAAGAGATCTGCCTGCTTCTGCCTACTGAATGCTGGGATTAAAGATATGCACCCCAATGCCTAAAAAATTATATTATTATATTTCTCAAAATATAAATTATTATGCCACATTTGAAGATGGATATATATATTAAGTTCAAAATTGATAAGCTTTCTGAAAGGCAAATTGGTAGCATCTGTCAAAACCTGAACGAACATATGAATATGTGAGACAGAATCATAGACGGTCATATATCTCTCTCTCTCTCTCTCTCTCTCTCTCTCTCTCTCTCTCTCTCTCTCTCTCTGGTTTTTCAAGACAGGGCTTTTCTGTGTAATAGCTCTGCTTTTCTGGAACTCGCGCTGTAGACCAGACTTTGAACTCACAAACATGTGTCTGCCTCTGCCTCCTGAGTGCTGGATTAAAGGTGTGTGCCACTACCACCCAGCCTGTAAATTTTTTTCATGTTAATGTGTTTTCTACATTTACCACACATACATAAACCACACAAATATCAACAACATAGAAGACAACACACGCATCAGTTTCCATTGGGAAATGGAGTGGATCTTTAGTACATATTCTGTGTTTTGTATAAATTAAGTTCATACTAACACATCACTTTAAAGAAATTGGCAGAGAGAGGGAGAGAAAACTGCTTGTATTATGAACGCACCCTTGAAGTGCATGTGCTGGAGACAGAGGGAGCTTATAATGGAGGTGTTAAGACCACGTGGCTCCATCCCCACAAGAGCGTTATTGCCAGTGTGAAGCATGGCTTCATTGCCTCTCCAACATCCCTTGTGCACAGCTCTGCCAGGAGATGACTTAGCAAGAAGTACCCTCCTCCTGCCTCCTTTGTTATTTTTGAAAAATATAATTAATAATGACAGTCAAAGAGTTCTTAATATGCACCTGAAATGAACTAATCATGTAACTTAATTTTCACTATTTGCTCTCTGTTCAGGGCTTTTGGTCAAGGTAGTAGTCTGGATAGTGGAGACTGGACTGGTGCCTGGCTATTTCCTATGGCACTGTTTACCACACAGGGGCTGACAGCTTCAGGGTGTGCTGTCCTCACCAATACTCTTAGTAATTCTGTGTGATGGAGGCAGGAAGAGGAGGGCAGGTGGGGTGAGAAGCAGGTGGGATAAGTGGGGAGGGATGGAGACTACTGTCTATTTTTTAAGCGGCAGCAAAAACACAACCTTTTAGCTTTTACTACATTTCTGGTTTATTATTTTCCTTTTGTAAAAGTTGACGTTTGGACAGGACTTTTACAGACAGGTATTACATAACCACACCAATCACATAATGACAACAAGGTCGAATTCTCTCACAGGACTAAGAAGAGAGGAAATACACCAAGATGTGGGAATATAAGTGACATCAATTTTACAAGACTGAATTCAGTTTTCATATTACTGAAGATGAGTGATAGAGAAAAAAAAAACCTCAAAATGAAAGTTATACTGATGCATAAATTACAACAATTAGATGAGCATGTGTCAAGACTACCAGATGGGAACTAAACAGCCTACATCCCATTTACTGGGAATGTCACAGCATTACCTTTGAATGGTTTCTCTTTTGGCTGGGAGATGACAAGTGTCACATCTTCAGGTGCATTCTGCAGAATGTCAACTGCAGCATGGTGACTGACCCCTTCCAGACTCACACTGTTCACAGATATCAAACGATCTCCTGAAAAATGCATAAGCCAGTATTTAAAACAACAAAGCAAGACTCATAGCAAACCTTAGACATTCTGCCCTTTCTGGGGGGGGGGTCAAGGTCATGATGGGAAACCAACAGAGACAGCTGACCTGAGCTTGTGGGAGCTCACAGACTTTGGACTGACAGATAGGGAGTTGGCATGGGACTGACCTAGACCCTCTGCATCTAGGTGACAATTGTGTAGCTTGGTCTTTTTGGGGGCCCCTAGCAGTGGGACTAGGACCTATTCCTGGCACATGAGCTGGCCCTTTGGAACCTATTCCCTATGGTGGGATGCATTGCCTAGCCTTGATGCAAGGGGGAGGAGCTCAGTCCTGCCCCAACTTGATATGCCATGCTGTGTTGATTCCTATGGGAGGCCTTACCCCTTCTGAATGGAAATGAAGGAGTGGATGGGGGGGGCAGAAGGGAGATGGGGAGGAATAGGAGAAGGGGAGGGAAGGAAACTGTGATTGGTATATAAATACATTAAAGAAAAAGAAATTCTACCCTTTCTCATCATTTTAGCTTTGCCTAAATTTACTTTTGCTCTCTGTCCAAATTCACATATTAGAAAGTACATAGGAAATCATCAAGATGTAAAGTACCAGGCTTTAAGCATCCATCCAAGTCGGCTGGTCCTCCAGGAGTAACTGAACTGATGAACACACCCAGGTCCAGCCTGCCCATCTTCTCCCCACCAATAATTTGAAATCCTGTAAAACATATCATCAAGGAAAGGTTTTTGTGATCTCGATTCTCTTAATGACTCATGATTTGTCTGCCTGAAACAAGTGTAGATACCTAGATAAAATAATTAAGTCTTCAAGAAGTATTTGCTGCATGTTATCTTAGCATTTGATGACTAGGCGTGGGGAATAGTGGACTGAGCGGGAAGTCAACAACATCTTAGCCAGAGGTGATGGCCAGAAGACGGGGGAATAGGTTAAGGGCAGGGAAGGGGCAAGAAGCAACACATCATAATGCTACAATGAAGACCACTTGTTTGCAGGCTAACCAAGAAGTAAATAAGCAAAAGCAAGACAAAGGGTCAGAGCTGCTTTGCTCTCTCACGGGGATGCTCATGGTGACTCACTCACCTAAGCCCAGCTTTGAGTCTCTCTTCAGATTTACCAGTGTGATCTCCCTTTCCGGGGAAGACATGACGCTCCATCTTTTGTGTAGTGTATCTATTAAGAGTTTGCAATTAAAAAAAAATAAACATAATAAACTGAGGCATTAAGATTATTAGCTTGCTCTAATTTAAACAGTAACAAAATATTAATAGATTTACTTGGTCACTTAAAAATAAAACTTCAGGTCACTGCAGGTATAGCATTTTATAGTGATTTATCATTTTATAAGCATATTGCATCACATTTATTCCTTCCAAACCTTTCTCTTGGAACAGTATGTTTCAGTGACAATGAGCTTATGGATCTCAGAGAACATGTGCTTTGAGCAGAGCTGCCACTGCAGAAGCCCTGAAACATCATACTCAGGCTTTCTCATTTCATCTTTCTGTTGCATCATAGTAGATTGCTTCAATTCAACGATTATCATATTAAAATTTTCTCTCAGGGCCTAAAGAAGAGCACATGTTGCTCTTGAAGAGAACCAGGGTTTGGTTCCTGGCAACAAACCAGGGTGGCTGTTGGGGGCACTGCATACATGTGCTGTACTGCCATATATGCAGGAAAAATACTCATACATATAAAAGAAAAACCAGGAGACAGAGGCAGGTGGGTCTCTGTGAGTTCGAGGCCACACTGCTCTGCAGAGGGAGTTTCAGGACAGCCAGTGCTGTCATGCAGAGAAACCTTGTTTCTAAAAGAAAAAAAATTCCCTCCAATATGTTGACATATTATATAAATTAGTAAAATAGTATTAGTGAACACCTGAGTGAAACAGTAATAAAAATAAACTGGATTTAGTTTCCAAAACCCACTTCTTGTGGGGATTTTATATAAAATAACAACTGGTCTATCACATCTATATTCAAGAGTCCCCATCACCATTTGAGGATGAGAAGTAAAAAGTTTAACTTTCTTCATCTTCACCATCCAGAGTAATGACTTAATAGTTAGGCAGGGCAGTTAGTTCAATTATCTACATGAATTTCAACATCTGAACTGCAATTTGCTTTTCCTAATTTCTTACTTTTTTCTTATCATTCACAAACATCTTAAGTAAGCTGATAAACATGACACTTAATTGACACATTAGACAAGTATATTAAAAATGTAAGCAAATAGACAACCACGCATACACACATGCATGCAAACACATACAGGCATGCACGAAAATGAGTTCTTAATACCGACTGCAGAGTCAACTGGTCTGCATGAAGGTGGTCATGCTGGTTAAGTTTTTAACATCCAGAAGTTAAGTTTTATAAATTGAACTTTCAAGTTTAAGTCTATACTGTTCTAAAGCATATCGATGCTTTTTGTTAAAAAAAAAAAGACAAAACCAAAACCCAGAGATTATGTTTCCACTGAAGCCGAAATCAGAAATTCCTTAAACCTCTACACATATTTTTCTAAGAACTGAAACCACTCTCAGCGCAGATCACTTTTGCTGTGTGTTCCACCATGGAAGGCCAGGCATGGATTTAAACTAGTGTTAGTATGTTATAGGAATTAAAACACAAAAATGTATTGATGCCCAAATAATTAAAATGTGACACTTCAAAGTCTAGAAATAAATTCTTTTACCCAGAGGGAAACAGAACCATTATTTCCTGTCAGCAGAGACTTTGGCCTTGTGTGTTAAGGGCTATCTTAACAAATCTATTTGTTGTGACTCACATGTCCCTTAGAACTAAAACTTATTATAGGTAATCAGTAATAGTGGTAGCAATGGGGAATGACCTTCTGATGAAATTACACAGAACATCACTGGATAACGTTGCGAGGAGCCAGCTGTAGCAGACAGAATTAAGAAAAGTGCACCAGCTCTCACGAGCAGCTTTTACAACACTGTCTAAACATCCTCTACTTTTTTTTCCCTGAAGTAGCCAATAAGCTTTAGTTTTCAGGTAGAACAACCAGAAAACAATATAGAACAAGACCCCAAAACAAACAACAGTAAGGTCACATTAATAACAGAAATAAAAAAGTATTTAATTGAGGTGTTAAGAAAAAAACTTTAGATACAATCAAAGTATACTGCAAAGTAATTAAATGGTTAACAGTTGCTTTGAACTTTCCACCCTCCCTCCTCTCCAATTTTCAGATTTAAATTTTTGGTGCATAGGGATTTGGAGATTTAGAAACTGGTGAGATTCAATATTCTATGGTACTTGGTAAGTCCAAATGCATGCAGTTAGTAGAAAAGCAAATTCCCTGGCATTTACGGACAGGATAAAATAAATGACAATCAGACTGGGGGAAATGATGGCTCCCAGGTTACTCTTTTGTTTACTGTAGCTTAAGAATAGAAAGGCCTGTAACCCTGCAAGTTTTAAAGAGAAACTTTACTCACAACTGTGAAGAAAAGGTCCACCTGGTTTATACAGAGTATTCCTGCCTCTTGTCAGTTTTATGAATGGTCTTATGAGGTATGTATGACCAGACTCTAAGTGGTCTTTCAAAAGAGATGGGCAATCTTTTCACTTCCACCTCTAACAGGTAATTGACAGGATTAATTATTTATAATACTCATCTGGTTAAAGGCACTGTGTGTATGTGTGTGTTTGTGCATGTGTGCATATGTATATGTGTATACACACATACACATATATCTCCCTGATTAGAAGCAACAGAGCTTGTTTATTCAAAGATGCTTGACTGTGACTTCAGCACTTAACTATTTATTTCGGTTATTCTACTATCCTTCAAATACTCACTGAGCAACTTTCCTATCAGCATCTATCATTAGGCATTTGGGGGAATATAAAGCAAGGTAATGGAAATGAAACCTGCTAGCTAGTATAGCAAGTGTGAGGAGGCCAACCTCTAGCTTTAGCACAAAACAGACTGCTATTAATAATGTCAGAAAAAAAAAAACCCTATGTTTATAATAAAAGGGAAAATAATGTCAATCAAATGGCTGCATTCCAAAAGCAGTGTCAGGCCTACAGAGTCATCCTAGGAAGTGCTGCAATAGCGACAGCCTTGACAGCTTCTTCCCCTCTGGCTATAAAGGAGGTGACAAATCAAGGAAGCAGGGTAAGGTGCTCCGAGTAGGAGCCACATAACTCCTCTGACTTAAGTCGGTCATTCACAGGTGGTGACAGAGACTAGGAACAGAGTTAAGACTGGTCAGCAGTTGAATGGATACTTGAATAGGAAAGGAAAGGAGCTCTGCTACCTGGCTCCCTTCCAAACATTCTTTGCTCAGCTGTGGTATTGTCAACAGTGACAGATCAGAGAGGAGAGCAGGATCACCTGTGCAGGTGCTAATACTTCATCATACAAGACAAGCCGAGTGTGGTTTCCTTCTGTTCTCTGTATACAGCAGATGTTGAAAATACCTTTTCATTTTCGTTTTTCTCAAACTGGGAGGCATTTTTGGAGTTATGTCTATGCAAACAGTTATATGCCTGCAGTTCTATTCAACCAATAGGGCTGGCGAGTTTGTGAGGCAAACACTTGGGAAGACATTTCTGGGTCATTTCAACTATATGAAAACAAGCATGAATGAATGCATGAATATGAGGAGGACTTATTAAATCCTCAAAATAATTTGCATTTCCTACTAATATGCATTATAAATGCAGCATTGTGTTTTCCCCCCAATTATTTCAAAGAAAAGAATCTTAACTTGAAATTTCCAGTTCTTCAAGTAAAACAAGTATATGCCTGTGCTATACCCAGTCACTGGGAAACAGTGACAGGACTGTGTGTAAGCTCTTGTATCAGGGCCTGTTTGCCTCTCGGAAGTTCCTGTGGAAGCTATGCAGTCTTCAGTTAGAATACTCAATTATCTTCAAACAGTGTGACTCTCTTCTGACAAGCTAAAAACTATGCTGGAGATGAACTCTTGAAGAAATGGTAGGATTTTAGTAAGTGGAGCAGTGTTTCAACTGCTTTCTAAGCAAGGGAAACTTTTTTTTTTCTTTTTTCTTTTTGCAGTGTTTCAACTGCTTTCTAAGCAAGGGAAACTTTTTTTTTTCTTTTTTTTTTTTTTTTCAGTTGTGGACTACCCCTGACCCATATCAGGCAGCCTCAGTTGACTGACTTGAGAGGATGCTCAGGTAATGTTACCCCAGGGAAGAGAGCTAATTCAAATCTTGGGGATTAATATGGATCAGTGGAACCATATTGGCATAAAAAAAAAAGGGATCTTTTAATTGTGCTATTTTTTTAAGTTTATTTTGAAGACAGGTTCTTGCTATGCAGCCCCGGTTAGACTGGAACTAGATCTCCTGGCCTCTGTCTCCCAAGTGCTGGGATTCAGGGTGTACACCAGCACGCCCAGCTCTGTGGTACTATTTAATCTGCTATCCATTATGATGGAAAAAACACACTCTTTAATTTCTGCATTGGCACATATTAGTTAAGACAGTGAGTTATGTACTATCTGTCTGGACACACACAATCCACAGAATGAAAAAGCTCAGTGAGATAAACATTTAAGTTCCTTCGATTCCTCAGTCAACTTCTGATGCATCCAGTGAGTTTCCCTGTCTGCTCAGTTTTTTTCAGGGCACTTTGGACTTTTATTTTTGAGTATAATGCTTGGCTTTGCAAGTATTTTAACTGAATATTACTAACAGGAAGACTAGCATTTGACATCACAATGGCCCTTGACATCTGATTGAACAGAGCAGTGTACTGTAGGATTTTATTTATCCTTGAACACTGTATTAGGTGGCATTAGAGACTGGCCATAAGATGGTAATTAGCATTGATACAGAATAAAATTAATCTTAGGTCCTGGCTATGTTACTTGAACTCTTATTTCTTTAAACAAACAAACAAAAAATTTTTTTAGATTGTATTATGTAGCTCCGGCTGTCCTGGAACTCACTCTGTAGACCAGGCTGACTTTGAACTCATAGATCCACCTGCCTCTGCCTACCAAGTGCTGGGATTAAAGGCATGCACCACTACTGCTGAGACGAAAACTTAATTCTCAACAGTTTCAATCCCACTTAGTTGGTCAGGTTCAAAAGGAATTAAAAAAAAAAAAAAAAAAAGACTGACCGGTCCCTCTGTAAGTAGGTGACTAGCCCTTTTGTTCAGGCTAGCTGGTGAGATGAGGCTTATAAAAAATTAAAGAGAAAAAAAATTCTTAAGTCTGTATATGTTCATGGATAGTTGGTACAGATTCATATTCTTGTCTATCAGAATTTAAATCAAAACATGTGTGTGCTATCATTACAGAGCAATTATCAGCAAAGCCCTTCCCAAAGCTTAGCAGGGAGGTGCCCTGTTTCTAATGTCATGCCAACAGGGGTCCAAAGAGTGGATTGGAGTCTGATCTCTGGAAACAAACTGTCTGCATTCAGATCATGACTCACTGCTCTCCAGTTCTGCAGGCTGGAGAGCTGATGTCTGGTTTCTCATTTGTGGAAAGGAAATAGCATTAGCACCCACCAGACAGGGGTATTGTGGGGACTAAACGAGAAGTAATATAAAGTCTTAGTAACTGTTAACCCACATTATCACCACCTTCACATGTTAAGAGTAAAATTCTGTGAGCTATGCAGATGATCAAAATTCAGTCCATGTGAGCAGTCTGTGCCCTGACCCTGGTGACGGAGGCCCGTCCACGTACATGGTTATTACACTTGACTCCTAGGACATGCCTTCAGCTTTCCTGAGGATTTGTAATGGAGATGAAAAATAACTCTCCCGCCCCTTCCTTATTTCCCATGACTATTTAAGACAGCATCTTTATTTATAACTTTTGAAACAATTTTACCCCAACACAATTCTATTCTCTTGAATAACTGGTATGTTTATTTCTACTGGAGAATGAGACATGAATGTGTTGGTGCTTGAAGTTTTGGCCTACAAGAGCACCAATTCTATGTGGTTTGATCTTGCTTCTTAATTTCCTTTCGTCTTTACTGTCAAGAAAATTAGAATTAAACTTAAGAGCCATCAAATTTCGCTGCCTCATTATTATTTTAAATTATGTGTCGTATGCCTATCTGACTGTGGATATTGGTATGGGAGTGCAGGTGCCTTTGTGAGCCACCATGTGGGTGCTGGGAACCAAATCTAGGTCCTCTGCAAGAGCAAGTCTAACCGTTGAGGCATCTCTCCAGTCTCAATGACATGACTAACTTTCATTGCAAACCTGCTTGTTTCTCAGAGGCTTTTGATATTACAGCTTTCAGGATTTAAGGGTAAGAGCTGGAGCAAAGTAATACACACACACACACACACACACACACACACACACACACACACACACGTTTATATAAATGTGTGTGTGTGTGTATAGATAATAATGTAGTATTGTTTCCTACCCACAAAGCTGTTAGGAAGATCAAGTAAGATCTAAATACTTTCAGTCTAAATTATAAACAGTTTGAATATAGACTGAAGTCACTGTCCACAGCCGGCCATCCTCCTACAGTTTTTTCCCTAGTGTCTAAGCTGAGAAGATTCACATTTAGTCTTCAGTTTTACTTCCAATATTCAGGAAAAGGCTCAAAACTGGTCCCGCTGCGTGTTACAAGTTCGTGCTGACCCACATGCTCTGCACCATCACCCCTGCTGTTGTTTTTACAGATTTTCATGTCTCTAACCAGAGTGTGCCCTTCATCTGAAATGCTCGTCTTACTGTTTTCTCTGAGAAAATCCCCCTGTGAGGTCCTGAGTACAACCCCTTGGTATTTAAAAAACAACAGCACAAAGATTTAGCTCAAGCATCCCCTTCAAATGACCTCAACATTACCTCTATCCCACACCACTGTCTTAGCCTTCCAAGCAATGCCCTTTCTGAACCTCTCATTTCCTTTATCAGCAACAGCCAAAACCACAGGTCCCATCACTCAGTCATGATGCTGCGCACATCACACTTCTCTAACTGTGACAAAGGCATAAATTCTTGGCATGGAATAAAGAGTCTCCACACTTATGCCCAGATCATTATGTAAGGTACAAGAAAAGAGAAAGGGTATGTTAGAATTAGGGTAAACATTTTGTAAACCTACCATTGTCTTTAAAGGGTACTTGGGATGAAGATTTTCCAGAACTAGGCAAAGTCATTCCTGTGGTATAAATTATATTATTAGACATTTTATAAAACGGACAAAAACTATAGAAGTAATTTTTTTTTCTGAAAGCGCCACAAAAATCAACGAAACACTAAGACAGTGATATTTTCTTTGTTTTACACTGAGAAATGTCTTATCACATAGGGTGTGCTTTCTATTTCTAAATAACAATGAAGCATATTTACTTGTTTTGGGCCACATATTTAAGCTCAAATGCATTGTTTCTAACAATGACAGTTGGATATATCAAATGTGAAATATTTATAATGAAATGAGTTTCAAAACCACTTGTCCAAATGTTAAAAAAGTTAATATTCAATGAGAATGAATACAATTTTTTAAAAAATCAGAAAATAAATAGATCTCACAGGTTTGTGCTATTTTGTTTTTGATCCTACATAGCCTAGACTAGCCTCACACATACTATATAGGAGAAGCTGGCCTTAAGCCCTTGCCTCTTCTGCTTGTCCTTACAAGTGCTGGGACTATGCGCCACGCACACCCATAGCGGGCTTCCAGGCTTTATGGTGGACAGCTATGACTCTCTTGGTAATACAGGTTTTTCATGGAGAATGAAGCCTTCCAAAGGGGATAATCTTACAGCTCATAAGATCTCATTATATGTAAACATACTTTGAAAATCATTTCCTAAAATGTTCCTTCAGTCTCTCTTACTCTCATCTTCAATATTAGGTTTACCCTATGGGATAAAATCTTGCCTTTTTTCTGCTTCAGTCTTTTCCACTGACTCAATTTCTATTGGTGATAGTATAACCTCTGAAAGACGTGAACATCTCCATTCATAAATAACTATCAACTACAACGTGGGATTCTCCTATTACTTCATTTATTTCATATATCCCCAATCCAACTACAAATGAAAAAAATAAGTTTTAACATCAGGTAATTAGGAACAACTTTGGGTCTAAGGAGAGAAATAAGAGTTTGATGACAATAGGAGGGGATCCTCTTTGTCTCTTCAATTGCTCACATTCTGAGCAGCAGTTTAGTTTTCTGGGCTCAAATATCTAATCTTCTTGATGATGGCTTCATCGGATTTCCTTTTCAAGATGCACAAGGCAAAGAACTATTCACTGTATGGTGATGTTCAGTACACACACATAACACGTGCAGGTACACTTTCATATACACTCCCATATTCTTTAATGGGGTGAGGGTCTTGCTATGCTGGTCTTGAACTCACAATCTTAAGACCTCAGTCTCCTTCTATGCTGGGATTATAGCAGTGCACTACAACACCCAGAGTCACACAATTTCAAGACCTAGGTAATTAATAGGCCCCATGTAACTAGCTGGTAAAATCTGAAAAAAAAAAAAAAACCAAAAAACCAAAAAAACCTTTCATAAAAATTATGTAAGGTTCTGGAGGCTATTCAATCCTTTTAAGGTAAAAGAAACAAAAAATTATCCTTCAAAACACAGCACCATCAGAGCCGCTCACACAGGCTGGTAGGAAGAAGACAAAAGAAAGCAATGCGAAGCTGTGTGCAAGGCCCGGGTACTCTAGGACGCCCATGGCCACAGGACCAAGAGGAAGCTAAGCAGTACTGCTATGAAGCATTCCCAAGTTCAATCAGGGATTGACTTTTACTTGAGGTATTTTAAGCATTGACAGTCTGAGCAATTAGAATCCCCAGCAACTAGCTGGAAGTTAACACGGTTCTGTTGACTTCACTAGGAGCACGAGCTACGGGAGAAGAAAGCAAAGCTTGGTAGTGCTGACCTACAACATAGGCTTGACCAGGGTCTTCAATGGATGAGTCTGATTCATGTTTCCTCCTTTCGGGGCTTCTATTTAAACTGGCAACAGACTTTGAACTAAAGGGGGAAAAGGAAGGCAGGAGGGGAAGTGTCAATGTAAAAGGAATATGGCGAAAATAATAAAATGTCTAAACAAACACAAATGCATGAAATGGGGAATTTACAAGTATCTACTTTGGGTTAGTCAGTTATGTTCTTACTTATTAAGCTTTGTGAGTCCTGCCAATGACTCTGTGTCAGATCTTGCCATCGGGTACATTGGTTTTTCCACCAACTCTGCAAAGGCTGGTGGTAGGGAATCCATGTTAATGACCTGTTTCCGATGAGGATAGAGAGAGGCCTGACTGAGGTCATGATAAGATTTACTTATCCCTCTAGGCTTTTCCTCCCATGAAGCTTTGTCATTCTTCTCTTTTGAACTGTTTTGCAATGGCTGGTAAAGCGACAGCTCTGAGCAGGAGAGCCTCTTCAGAATTTCAGCTTGAACTGACAGGGGTCGGACGGCAAGCTTGTTGAGGGTGCTGCTGGCCAGACTGCCAGTGCTGATTGCGCGGCCCATATTAAATCCTCTAACAGACTCTGCTTGCAGGTTCAGGCTCCTAAACGAAGCTCTCTCTACAAGGAAATAGGATTGCTTTACACGATGGAGACACTGCAGAACCTTTATGAGAAGAGTCATTTTAATAGGCAAAACACAGCATGCAGGTTTTAATAATCCCAACTGCCAGTCTTAGCTGGGAGCTTTCAAAGCTGGCAACTGAGGGTTTTAGAAAGGTGTTAGAGCGTCCTGGCTTGCATATATCACTTCATCCTTTTCCTAAGCATTTCTTACTTCACCCACCAATTCTCTTTCATCCTGTTATGTTTGTGACTTAGGTGGGGACACCCAAAATTCCTTATGGATTTCCACACTGACAACGAAAATTTTAACCCCTGTAGTGGTTTCTGCTGCAATATTAGGAAACTAAGAATGGGAAGAAGGGTTGGTGAAACCAGGACGGGTTGCCATGTCTGAAAAAAGCAGCTTTGCAGAGGAGAGCTTTGCCCAGAAGTCCTTGATTATTACTGTATTTTCAAAAAGCTACAGATTGAGAAGATGGCATACTACTCTATGGATACACACACACACACAAAACAGTGAGATGAACACACCATGATTGTCTGTTACATATGTTGTAGCTCAATAATGCTGTTATAAGTCAAATGCCTTTAGGGCAAATTTTCATGCTATTTACACTATTATGCCAACCCCACCTTCCCATTTTCACTTTACGAATTAACTAGGCACCAGAGCCAGGGACAGCCAAAGGGCCTCTGTCTTCTTCTCTTTTTGCGTCTATTTTCTATGCTTAAATTTTGTTTACTAATAAATGAAGTCCAAAAGCCTGCTTTTAGAAGTTAAATTTAGAGATACTTTAGGTCAAGCCCTTGGTTATTCTACATCACTACTGTAGTATTTTGACATTTGAAGCTATTAGTAAAACCACCGTATCATATGCAAACAATACCTAGGAAAAGAGTTTCAAATGATTTTGTTGTTTATGAATTAGGCAAACCATATAATAAATCATCTTCTGGGGCCCACTGTAACTGGCTAAATAGGGGTATACTCTATTTGTGGTAAAGTGTGACAAGTATGTCAAATAGCTGGAAAACTTCCTTTTAAAAAGAAAATGTTGTGATTACTGACTTAGATTCCATTTCATGTATCTTCCATTTCCGAGAAGATTAATAATATTCATGCATCAGAAGGAACCTTGAATTAATATGCCTCATTATCGCCAGGGAACAGAGGTCCTTTTCTATAACGGAAGTGGAAGTGGAAGTGGAATTCAAGATCTTTGTACCCAAGAATTCCCAGAATCATCTTCAACTTAATCTATGGAGTTTTTACTGCAGTGGATAACATTATTTCTAGTCTATTTTACTATGACAGGACTCTTTAATCTAAGAAGGAAACCATCAATTCAATGACAGCAAACATCTCAACACCCCAAACTGGCAGCAATAAGGGTGACTAGTTCAATAGGTTTTGTGTCCTGGCTTATCAAGGACTGTCCCTTTCAAATCCATTCAAAGCTCACTGCCTCACAGATCCATGGGATAGTAGTATAACCATTTGCTGATCTCATCCATCCCACTGCCTGTACCTGGAATACACTCCAGCATGCACCAACAGCTACGGAAAGACAGTGAAGCTGTAGTCTAACAACAGTGTTGTGTTTCCATCTAAAGCTTACAGCCTTGCTGGCTTCATACAGCCTGCAGCTGCTCCTTCTAATCCACATTTGCTCCTGCTCATTCTCTTCAGCATTCTGTACTTCCTCATACAGACTTTCCCGTAGGCTCTTTTGAAGACAGCCTCCATTTACTCTGCTATTTCTTAGTACTTACTACTTAACAGTAAGTGCTAAATAAATGCTTTATTTATTCATTCCATGAAAGCTAGCTATATGTAAACTCTTGCTAGGAGTGAGGAGACCAACACTGCACCCCAAACAGGATTTTTGTCATCATCTATTTAGGGGAGACACTTGTAATCTGAACCTATTTCCTTATTAGGAAAACTGGGACTTAATGACCTCTAGGGTTCTTTATAGAATCAGCATTTTCCAGTACTAATATGTAACATACATGTGATAGTCTAGCAACCTCCTATGGATTATACTGGTAATTTTCACTTGTTTAGTTCAGGCAGGTAAATAAGTACATGGCTACTTCTAACCCAACTCGAAGAGGGACATAATTCCTTTGAAGGTTTTATAAAATATGGGAAAGCATACAGACAATACCATCTTGGAGTGTTTTCTCTGTGCATTCAAGGATATCTTGCTACTTGAAGTCTGGAACTGAGTTTATGAAATATGTAAAGCACTCTCTTTTGTGGAGATAGAAAATAAGACTCTGAAAATTCAGTTTCTTTCCTCAGGTCACTCACAAACGACCTGCTACTACTGCATGGTATATGGTGCGTGGTACAGAAGCATACAGCAGGGTGGCAGTGGTAACATCTACTGCTGCTGTCACTACCACCATTAGTATGAGTACTGGTCATATCACTATTGCTGATTAGGGGTAGAGAGAAGTGATAAAGCAGTGGTGAAGACTGAACCCAGGACGTCATGTGTGCTAGACAAGTACATTCCCATTCAACTCTATGTCTTCACCCCTGACTGCTGGATATGTTTACAATGCTCTACAGGTATGGATTAATCTGTACTGTCCAATGGCCTTTTGATATATATAATCTCTCTATCTATCTATCTATCTATCTATCTATCTATCTATCTATATATATATATCACTGTGACAATAGTTTCCCAGACACAGGAACTAAGACAGACAGCTTTTGTAGTGTCCCTGAGTCTTCAGAGTCTGTGACGGTCTGGATTGAATATCAGCAGTTTTATTAAGGTGAGAATCATGTATGACTATAGGTCAAGCACTCCCTTAATGTGAAAATCCACAATCCAAAGAGCTGAGACTTTGATGTTTTCCAATGGAAACCAGTGCTTGGCTTCGCTTGCCAGGTGTCAGTGGGAACACTAAGTATAGCATAAAATCACCACAGGTCCATGTGTGAGGTAAAGAGGAGACATAACAGGTTCTCTTTAAGTTAGATCCCATCCTTCATGTGCATCTCCTCATGTGTTTGCAGATATTCTAAACTCTTAAAACTTCAAAATTAGAAACATGTCTGGTGAAACATTGAAGAGAGAGAGGTCAGTCATCACACTCTCATCTTCTGAGTCTCCCTAGTCTATCATGTATAGAAATGTATGATCTTTCATCATTCATTGCTGGTTTGTACTGAACACTGATCCAAGTAGGAATGCCAACACCTTTAATAGGTTTGGTGCTTTACTGTACTTTAAAAACATATTAAAGCACGTACAATTTTTAGCAAAGCAAAGTAGGAAAATAAAAGGTAATGTGATAATACCCATGGCTATCATATATTAAAAATTATATATGAGGAAGTTCAGTGAAAATGCAGATTCTAGGGCTCCAACTTTCAAAGACTGTGACTCTGCAGGCTCACATAAGCTCCAAGAACCATATGTCAGGGAGACACATGGTCTTCACTTATACCCCGAGAGGGGAGAAACATCCCCTTACAGCTGCCATGCCCAGGCCATGCTAGAGGAGAAACTTCCTAAGAAGACTTCAGAATGAAAGTTCCAGAAAAGAATTCAGACACACGGGCCACCAGAGTCTGTTATTGGACTCTCCCTCACATCCTTCAGAGTGGTCCACTTAAGTCTTAGGGATTTACCAGAAAGAAGTGATTTCAAATCACTTGAATCTCCACATATGGTTGTGCAGAAGTGGCTTTCAAAGCTTCAGCTCTGATGGATAGATTTCTGTCCAGAGCTGGATGGTTTTTGCAGCTGAAAACCCATTGTCCTGGTTGCTATGGCTACTTGTCAAAGCCTCAAGACAGGGATGATCAAATAAGACTAGCAGGTGGTAAATCTACGGTTCGAATGCCTGACTTCACTGCAGCGGTACCACTCCCCTTGCCTGTGTCCTACTTGCCCTGTTCTTTCCCACATTGACCTCCAAACTATTTAGCATTTGTCCTTCAAACCTAAGTCAACTATCACCTACCTCTCCAGAGCTCAGAGCTTCCTCTTGTAAGCTATGGGTATCCTAGAACCCACATGATATAACCTGTTAGGATCTTGGGGATGGCTCAGCAGTGAGGAGCGTTAGCTGCAGTTCCATAAGCCCAAGGTTTGATTCACAGCACACAGGGTGGTTTAAAACCATCTGTAACTACAGTTCCAGAGGGAGCCCTCTTCTGGCTTCTGTGGACCCCGCACACATGTGGTATACATATACACATTCATGCAAAACACCCATACATATGAAATAAGATAGTTAAAAAACTTGTATGTATCATTTCATAGTTATAAGCTAAAACATGGTTAAACCTTTTAAATGCTTTGAAGAGTCCATGCTTGTCTGCAGTGCTGCTTTCTAAGAGAGTCATGTGACATGGCCCACTTCTACTTACCAATGTTTTGGGCATCTTGGTTACTCTGTCGTGCCCTCATCTGCAGCTGGAACTTGTGCTGGGAAGAGCAGAGGTGCAGCAGGTACTGGCAAGCCTTACCGCTGTCTGTCTGGAAGGCATGCTTGATTCCATCTGATGTGTTCTGTAATGTAATTTTCTTTTTCTGTAATAATAATGAGAGGTATCTGTAACTAGGACGTTTTCCTGGGACTTTCATAGGACCAAATATTCTAACCTATAATCAGTAAGTAGAGATACTTGTATTTTCAACTATTAGGTATAAGTGCCCTTTAACCACCTATAGACATAAATATAACTATAGGAACTATACTTCTATATCCAAATAAATTTGATAAATAAATTGGTATTAACTGCCACTTTCAGCAACTATGGCTTCTATGTACTCCATTCATCATCAAGGGAAAATTTAAAAGTTACCGAGAGGAGACCTGGAGAGATGGCTCAGGGGTTAAGAGCACTGGCTGCTCCTCTAGAGGACACAGGTTTTAACACTTAGTTCTTAGGTATAACCCAGTTTAGGGGATCTGATGCCCTCTTCTGGCCTACAAAGGCACAGTGCACAGCAAGTACAGATGTTCATGCAGGCATTAACATTTACACACAAAATATCCAGGGTTACATTAAGACAATATTTAGGGAAGTATATATTTGAACATGTTCCTCTCAGATTGAAATAATTTTCAAAAGTAATAATATTTACATTTGACTTGATGGGACTATTTACAAATGTTAATAAAAATGATTAGAACTGTGCATTTTACTCCATGAGAAAAGAAGAGTTGAAAAGACATTTTAAAGATTAACAGTAATGGTAAGAGTTACGATTCAGTTAAGGAGAATCTGGGTGGTATGAAGGCTGGGATGGTAGATTTGGGATGTTAAAGAAGATGTGGGTAGCTGGACAGGTGTGGTACATCCCTGTATTCCCAAGGACATGGTAGGATGAGGCAAGAGGATCACCTGAGTCTAGGAATTCAAGACCAGTCTTGGCAGTGTGACCGACCAGCTGGCATCCCAGACAAAAAGCCAGGGGGGATTAAAAAAAAAAAAAAAAAAAAAAAAACAGAGAATATGTGAATACAGTGATACCAGATGGCGTAACTTGAGACACTAAATACTTCAGTATCTAAAGATGGCTATTTTTACAAAATTCAAAAAAAAAGTAGGAAAAAGAATAAATCAATTTTATTTGTCTGATGGTTCTTGAAAGATATATCTTGTGGAAGAGGGCTTCCCAAAACCTGTGCTAAAGCTTGTAAATGGTCCCTGGTGCATCCAACAGGCCAAGGGCCATGGCTAATAATAGGCACTTACTTAAATGCAGTTAGATTGTACTCTACCCATTACCTGCTATGCAAATTAGTCTCTATTATCTTTATTTAAAAACACGGAAATAGACACAGAAAAGTCTAATTTAATAGAAGCCCAAAGTTATAATGAGTGTTCTCTAAGCCTCTTGTGCTCACAAAAGCTGACCTTATTAATTCATAAATAGATATATCTTACACAAATTTACATTAAAGATCTTTATAATGAGAAAACAATGTGTGAATACTATAAACAGAACACAACAATAGAAATAAGTTATAATGAATGTGATAAAATATAGAAATGTTCTTAAATTCTAGGTCAGATATTGCTGCTGATAAATCTCTGGGTCTGAACCTGATTTCTCTTTGTTAAAAAGGAAACCCATCAAGTTTTAGAATAAGTTAAAAATACAGTAACATCGAACCAGAATCTCGTCTATGGGCACCTACTAACTCCTCAGGTAGTTTGATATTTAAATGTAAGTACTTAACTGTCAAGTAGTTCACAATGACACTAAAATGCACATCTATAAATCTAGTGATCAAGTCTTAACACAAAAGGAAGAATCCACTGAGACAACCATCAAAAAAGCTGCAGACTTGGGATCACAAAAGCCCGCCAATGATGTCGTAAGTCCAGAGTAATTATGGAAAGTGATATTACAGACAATGTGCTGGCTTGAGACAGATTAGAAGAGGGTGTGATTCTGTTGGTGGGTTGAAGGGACAGAAAATGTACCGAGGAACTCTGGGGAGAGCAGAGATGGATAAGGGGACCATCCACCTAAGTTTCCTTCAAATATTTGCTCTACTTAAGTTTCCACTTAGAGAAATTTAAATTAAACCCAGGTAATTTCCTGGTTTCAACACTTTGGGGAAGATGAGGGTAGGCTGGATTTTCCTGAAAGGGTGAATTACTTTCTGATAATCTCAGTGGACCTCCAGATTTCACAGGAGACGACTAACCACTAGCGCTAGGGCCTAGGTTGAGCTTTGTTCAGAATGCAGCATAACCTTTACATTCTTATGGGCATTGTTTTGGTGAGAACATATGTCAGCCCAAAAATCAGTGATCCTCACAGACTATTAGGAAAGAAATAAACATACTTTTGCTCATCTCTGAGGCTTGCCAGTGGATGCGTCAATGTTCTGATATGCTACATTCAAAATCAGGACATGCTTTTAGAGATCTTTTTAAACATGTTATTTTCCTAAAAGTCACTTTTCTAAGGCGGGGGGGGGGGGGGGGTAGTGGCACTTTATTTGTGGTACATGGGAAGCAAAGGTAGGCAGATCTGTGAATTCGAGGCCAGACTGGTCTACAAAGTGAGTTCCAGGACAGTGAGGACTACATACACAGAAAAACCCTGAATTGAAAAGCAACAGCAACAACAAAAACAAAACAAAAATTACTTTTCTAATGTCTAGAGTCTTTCTAATGTCTAGAGTAGGCATTAAAATCTAAAACTGGAACTAGTTTATAAAATTCAGTGGTGCCTGGATGTCTGCAACTCACATAACAGGTGCTATTAGAGGTCTTCTCTTGAGCATGACAGGGTTTATTACAAGGGAGATCATTATCTTAAAAATATTACTGGAATTTGAGTAAGTTTTTATAGAACAGAAAGTTCAACTTGGTTGTAATTTAACTCAAGTTAACTGAGCATGTAACTACTCATGAATGTATCCCATGCTTTAAAAAAAAAAAAAAATCCCGAAACAAAATCTCAGTAACACCACCTATAACTAAAAAAGGAAAAGGGGCTTTAAGTAGTACTGAAGTTTACTAAAGAAAGTCAGTAAATATGTTATAATTAAAATTGATTATACCAATTAAAATATAATGAAAGAAGTTAAAATGGACATACTGAAAAGGAAATCTTTTTGGTTTCCCTCCATGGAAAGCGAAGGACCAAGGTACGCACTCCGTTGTGAACTTCAAACACAAGCACACCTTTGGAACAGACACCAAGCAGTATTCCTGTTTGTGACTTTTTTTCAGGGTGCACCCGGTGGAAATGAACTCCATACTCTGTCAGCCTTTGGCAGACCTGTTGGAACACACAGAGTGGTACTTCCATTAGCCGTGGTGTATGGGGAGGATTTGGGTCAGGGTCAATGTACTCAGTGTTGCAGTCAGGTTTCTCAGCAATTCTGCTACAACATTTGGGATCCACATTCCAAAAGAATATCTCAATACTCACTTTGTGTGATATGGGAAAACAAACCCAAAATGCATCAGAGGCCTAAATACAGAAGCGGAGTGCCTCACATTTGAAAGACTTTGTAAGCTTGGTCAGGTCAAGAGTACTTAGATGGGACACGAAAAACATCAAAAGATTCAGCAAGTTTACTCCAAAGAAGGAACAAGAAATCATGGCAATAACAATTAAAAACCTGGTCATGAGAAGTCAGTGACAAGATATAAAGACAAACACAAACTGAGAAGCAAGCATCTGTAAGGCATGCATCTGATAAAGGATCAGTATCTGTAATACATAATGAAAATGTACTTTATTAAGAGACAATCAGATGTGAATGAGGTTGAAAAAGGTTTATGTATACATATCAAAAAAGAAGTTATATGAATGGAAAATAAAATGGTCAGTAAAAACTAGGGTAAACTTGAACTTGTGTCTCACATCATCATCAAATTCACTTTTTCCTCTTTATGATACAGCTTGGTTTTTGAGAGTGTGGAATAGGATAAAGACATAGAATTAATATCCAGATAGATATGGGTTCAGGCAAGAGGTTTGTTCCTCACAGTGCTACTGATCTTGGAATATCATGTTTTCCTTGAGCCTCATTTTCTCTTTCACAATGAGAATTACACTGCTGTAGTTTTAGGCAGGAATCAGCCAGAGGCTGCAAAGGGTCAGATATTTATTGCCCCTTAACTTTTAGATGTGTCCTCCAACTCTTGCTCATTTTGAACACGTGACACTGCTTATCACTTGCATGCTTACCTTTAAGAACTCAAGCTCTGTCTCCTTCTCAGAGGCTCCTGCATATGTGTTATGCAACTTGGGTAACTCCTCTTTAATGTAGGACAGGTCAAGCTTCTCCATCACTCTGGCAGGCAGATAATGCTCCAGGCGAAAGTAGGACATGCCATGGACCTAGGAGGAAGGATGCTGTTGTAAACAGTTCCACTTGCCTATCTCAGTGTGAAGCCTCTTCCTCCTGCCTTAAAGTTCTTGCCTCTGTCAAGAGATGGGATGCTTCTACTTCTCTCTGCAGAATGCATCTCTCTCTTCCTCAGTGAGGCTGGACTGATTGGCAAATTTCAGGAGACATTTGAAGGTTTTTTGTCACCATAGCTAAAGGGTAATACAGTAATGAAAGGTGTTGCTAAGGTGGCAGTCTCTCGTCACTTGCTTTCTCTTAGGTCTCTTTCATTTGGGAACATGAAGCTTTGAACAGTTTTCCACATAGTGACCTCTGCCAGGTTCTCAGCCTGTAGCTGTGTGGATCTGTGTGGAAGGCAGAGTCCTCCAGCCCATGCTTCACCAATACTTCCTCTACTAAGTCTCTTTCTTTATTGCTCAAAACACAGGAGGAGGGCTTGGAGCTAGATAACCCTAAACTCTAACACAAGACAATTTTAAACAGAAAAATAAACCTCACACTATGTGATTGTATAGAGTCAAAAGGATGGGATGGGGAGGGTGTGTGGTGAACTAGGGCACCTAGGGCACTTTGAGGAACCAAAGGAGTTTTGAAAAAAATCATGACATAACCATGATTTTGCTAAGGAGAAGAAGATTTTGCTAAGGACAGTGTCAAAGCTGTGGATATAACTCAGTGGGAAATGCTTATCCACTATGCCCTGACTTTGATCCCCAACAACAAAGCAAAGCAAAGCAAAACATATATAGAAAAGAAACAAATCTACCAATACAAAAATTGGTCTCAGAAGAGAAAGCCAATCCTACCTCTGGTTGGTAATCTCCATATTCGGCCTGGAGAGCTAAGGATGCAAGCAGTAGGGATGGCTCATCGTCACAGTGCAGCCTCTCCTCCAGAATGTCTTTCCGCAGCTGAAGATAATACTGATGGCAGGTTAGGCTGTGTCTGTTAAAATATAGATGCAAACAGACACCTTGACTTTTGATGTTGAACCTTGGGATGACTTTGATTATAGGCACAGTTTCCAACATTTCAAATTCAGATTGGCATTAAGCTTTTCTAATGCATTCAAGGAGCTGTGCGTTAGACCAGTGCCTTGCCTGTTCATCATCAGAGAAGCTTCTTCTTGAAGTAGATGGGAACTAACATAGAGACCCACAGATGGACAATGTGCAGAGTGAGACTTTGGAGCACTCAGTCCTAAATGGGGTATTTCCATCAAATTCTTTCCTCCAGACTCAGGGAGCTATGTAGAAAGGAGGTGGCATGATTCTAAGATGGATTACTCCAAGAAAACAGTGTCTTAAATACACAACAGGACTGGTGTACATATGAACTCACAGACACTGGAAGCACGTACAAGGCCTGCACATGTCCAAACCCTGAGTACTAAGAGTGGGGAGTAGACACAGGCTCCCACTACTAAGAAGCTATCTGCAATTGATACCCTCTTGCACAAGAAAAAGTGCTTTCTCCAATAGTCTCACTGGGTATAATAACCATACTTCAGAGTAGGTCCTTGCCTTAGAGTAGACAGCCAATACAAAACCAACTCAATGGTATTTTTGTAGATTTTTTTTTTTTGTCTCATTTTTCCTTTGTTTGGGCTTTTTTTTTTTTTCTTATTGGTCATTTACTTGTATATTTTGTTTTCTGTTTTCATATGTGTGTGTGTGTTTCTTTTGTTTGTGTTCTTTTTTTAAAGAGAGAAAGGGTGGATCTGGGATGAGCTAGGGGAGGGGAAAGTGTGGCTGGAATTTATTGTTTTTTCAATAAAAAAGAAAGAAATCATTTAAGGTTAATACTGACACTGCCCTTCATTTGTAGGGAATACATTCTATGAGCTGTATGGAAGCCAGAAGCCATGAAAAGTACCAGACCCTGCATATTGTATTTTCCTAAGCACACATATACAGGATAAAGTCTACCTTAGGTGCAGGAAGAGATTAAGCATAGATGAAAGAGACCTTAGCAGTCTCACAGTGTCCTGTTTCCTTATGAAGTCAAGAACTTTTACCTGCTCACTTAAAAACAGCACAGTATAGTCCATTGGCCTGCCAGTCCCCACTCCTCAGGCCCCTGGCCTGCCACGGCTGCCAGTCACCACTCTTATGCTTTAGAACCATCCCTAAGTAGTGGTTTCATGAACACAAGTACTTCAATGCCACCACAGCTGATCTGATAACATGACACCATTGAGCAACTAACAGGAAGAAGGTGTCCATGGCACAGGTACACAGGATGAAGGGACAGCTCATGCCCTATGCAGGGTGTAAAAGGGTGACACAAATTTCATAAAAACACTCAGAACTACACATAACTTACAATGAATGAAAACTGTCTGACGATGAAATTTCCCAGAGTATTTTCTCATCATGAATGAGCACTAGGAACTGAAATGTTGGCAACAAAAACATGGACAGAGAGGGACCAGTGCATCTCTTTTAAATGAAGAAGAAGCTGTCGTGGATCCGTATCAAGGGGTTCAGTGCCAGCAGGTTAAAGAGATCAACAGAGTGGGGCCAGAAAGAGTGAAAAGAAACCCTTGTGCACTCACTGTATCAAGCTAACATCATCCATGAAAAATTTAATTCGGAAAAACATAGTAAAATCAACAGCGGCTTTGCCCTTTTTCTTTGGTTCTTCTTTCCATCCCTCTGGGGCCACTTTGGTTAATTTTAAGTCAGGATCAACAAAGAAATATTCATTCTCTGAAACAGAAATGAGAAAGGCATTCAGAAGGCACAGAGTTTTCTTTCCCTTTGATGTCTTCATTTCTGTTTAGTTGACTGTCAGAGGCACAGTGAGGGTCTAAGCACTGCGTATGGCTGCCTTCAGTGTGCATCAGTTTTTTCAAAACCAGGGGTAAATCAGACAGACCTGGACTCCACTCCTGGTCTCATCATTTACGGCATGTGTGACTAAATTACTGTTCCACTCTAGACATCAATTTCTCTGTCTGAAAGATCAGGATAATGGTGGCTCCTGCATTATAGCATTGTTGTAAAAACCAAATGACAAAATGGACACAAAACATGCTGGAAGGCAAGTATTAAAGCAGTGTACATAAATATTAGGTATTATTTACTAACTGAATGATTATTCCACAAACATGATCTGTACAGAATGTTTGGGAAATAAACATAAATTCTGTCTCAAAAATATCTTTCAATAGACAATATTACCTAGTTAGTTCAGAGGGAGGGCAAGTAAGTCCTAGAGCTAGGTACTGGCCCTACCCACCCTCTGGGGCCACTTGGCTTAATTGTAAACCAGGATCAAAAAAAGTACTAGCCGAACACTTAATGGTGACTCTACAGAATGAATTGTCATTTTTAGAGCACAAACGTTAAAAAAAATCTCCATGGATACAGAAGGAGCCTCACAAACACAAGAGTGAAACTAGGGAAAGTTCCTAACTCCCTTCCGTTCTCAACACGGATCTGCCTATTTAATTTCCCTTTTCCCAAATGAGGCTCAGCATGGTAAGGTATAGGAGGTCATCTTGATGCTGGCTTCCCATTCTGAACTGTGAATTAAAACATGTAGTTACCTTTGAGGATAGCTAGAGCAAACAAATGATGCTCCACTAAGCCTATGTGAGCCACGACCATATCGAAGACATCCTTGCATATGGTCTTGGTATCACAGGTGAGCTCCAGTCTCTGCCCACTAAGGAGCATTATGTTGACTTTTCTACGGTGATCCTCATTCTTCCCCTTCTTGTTCTACCATTGGGGAAAAAGACAGTGTTTATTAAGAGAAGCATTTATAACATTTAGACTTGCTTTCTGAGAACAATTCAACTGATCTAAGCAGCTTTACTACTTACAAGGATAGACCGTGGCAAATCCAAGGAAATAAATGGCTCAATTGTCATCTTCACAAACTCAGGGCCAAAGAAATTCTGCAAGTCACATAAACAGAATAAATCATTTTTACCATTTATCCTAGGTCTTTCTTTAAAAGGAATATTAGTGCAAGAATTAAAAAAAATCACATTTCAGAACGAGGCACTACCTAACATACGTACAAAGTTTCAGTGAGGAACATTGGGTTTGCTTAGAACAGAAAAGCAGCATGCTTTATATGAAAATTTTATGGTGTGTGCACTAATGTGTGTGTACATATTCATGTGGCTTTATGAAACTAAGGCTTATAAAAAAAGGTCTGTACATGTGTGTCCATCATGTTCGTACAGAATTATCACATTTGAAGCCGAAAGTATATTGTATGACATCCAGCTTATCACTGTATTTGACACTTGTTTAGTTAGAATAATTAACTGGTAAAATTTCATTAAATTTGTTCTATTTAACTTACAATACATTTAGTTATATTTTACTGTCACTCTAAAAACTTTAGAACTGTACAGTGCCTTAGAAATTAATTCTACATATAAAAGATCAGAGCAACAAAATGTTTACAATTCTTCTTGAGATGGAAGCCTAAATTCAATGTATGTTTATAAAAATATATTAAAGGTCAAGTGCTGGGTTGGAGAGATGGCTCAGTGGTTAAGAGTACTGGCTTCTCTTCCAGATGTTGTGAGTTCAATTCCCAGCAACCACATGGTGACATACATGCAGACAGGACACTGATCTACAGAGTGAATTCCAGGACAGCCTCTAAACAATACAGAGAAACTCTGTCTAGAAAAACAAAAACAAAACAAAAAGTCTAGTGATTAAAGAAAAATATTGCAAATTGCATAAAGAAAAGCTATCCTCTCTCCCTTCAAAATATGAGATGTGGAGTTGCTCCTTTACTGCTTTGAATATTGCAGTAAGAGGACTCAAGACTTGGAGTTAATGCAATCTTCTAGGATCCTAGTAGGGCTGGAGAGATGGCTGAGCAGGAAAGAGCTCAAGCTGCTCTTTGGAGGACTGTAGCTCAGTTCCCTGCATCCATGTGACAGCTCTTAACCTCTGCAACTCTAGTTCTAGAGAATTTGATGTTTTATTTTGTCTTCTACAGGCACCAGACTTGCATGCAATGCACAGACATAAATGCAAGCAAAACACCCATACATACAATGACGATGATGATAAAATTTTACAAAAAAGACAATCAGAGCCAAAATTCTGAGAATGGCTGAGTAGAGAGATGGAATGCACTTAACAACATTCCTGCACTTATAAACTAACCTTGAACTCGGCAGTTCATCTCTTGATTTATGGACTAATGAATTTCTTACTATTAAAAGTAACTCCCTGTTACTCTGAATAAAGGATCATGCATATGTTATTCTTGGTTTTGTTTTTTAAAAATATTTCCCGAGATGTGTTTGCTATGTTTCCCAGACTGCTTTCAAACTGCTAGACAAAGACCTTGCTCCAACCTCCTGAGAAGCTGAGACTACAAGGACATTACACCATGCCTGGCAATACATATACATTTTATATGATCTCGCTATGGAGCCCAGGTTGGCTACGGAATTTTATGTCATCAAGGCAAATCTCAAAATCATGATCCTCTGCCTCAGTCTCTTGAGTGTAGAGATTATAGACATGTACCATTATGCTTGGGTAGATATATAAATCATAAAAGGATGGTTAAGACACTCAAAATTCAACTAGTGCTATTTTAAAAATAAAATAATATAAGCAGCTAAATATTGATTCTAATATCAAACAAGATGCTTGATCCCACTGAGAACTAATGTGGAATATCAATTTTACCTAGTCATCTTTAGGATATCTATAGCAACTTTCTATTTGCATATATTAATTATAAACAACAAAGATTTCTTCACGACATCTCCATACATGCATACATTGTAGTCTGGCCATAAGTAGACCCCATTACCCTTTTTTGTCCCCTTCTCCACTCCTTCCTCTTCCCCTTCTACTTTCAGATCTCTTTTTAAAAGAATATGTTCTTTTTATTTATTTATTTTATTAGTTCAAATTAGGAACAAATTTGTTTCATATATCAATCCCTTCTCCTTCTCCCTCCCCTCACCCCTACCTCTCCTCCCCTACCCCTGACCTACCCCCCACCCCATCCACCCTCCACTCCCCAGGCAGGGTAGGGCCCTTGACAGGGGCTCCCCAAAGTCTATCACATCATCCTGGGCCGGGCCTAGGCCCTTCCCCGTGTGTCCAGGGCAAGAGTGCATCCCTTTACGTGGGATGGGCTCTCCAAATCCCTTCTTACACCAGGAAAAAATACTAATCCACTACCAGGGGCCCCCTAGAGTGCAGAGGCCTCCTCATTGACATCCATGTTCAAGGGTTCTTAAACTGGGTGGTGGATGTGCACAACTTTAATCCTAGTACTTGGGAGGTGGAGGCAGGTGAATCTCTGTGAATTCGAGGCCAGCTTGGTTTATGGAGCAAGTTCCAGGACAGCTAGGGCTATTACACAGAGAAACCTTCTCAAAAAAAACAAAACAAACAAAAAACAAAAGTGAGTTCTTTGTGATTCACTGAGTCTATCTGGGTTTCACATAGGAGCACTCACTGAGCGTAGTTAGGGTCTCACACAGGAGCACTCACTGAGCGTAGTTAGGGTCTCACACAGGAGCACTCACTGAGCGTAGTTAGGGTTTCACACAGGAGCACTCACTGAATCTGAGAGGTTATTTACATCATGGACAGCTTATCTGCAGCTACACCACTGAAGAAAACCTAACTCATATTTTCAAACGTTCTGGCTAACAGCCCTCAGAGAGCAAGTCTGGAAGATGGCCTGAGAACAGCCTCACCCTCAGTTTTCTCTGGGTCATGGCTGTCTCCAGGGCAATTTCTCTTAGTGGATCTCTGGAGATGTCAAGCATGGAAGCTTTGACTGTGTCCCCCGGATACAGGCTCAACCGAGACTGGCGGAGAGCCATCCTGGCTTGTAGCTGCACCATTTCTTCTTCCTGTCGCTTTAGCATCATCTCCTGACTGATTAAGTTGCCTTCAAGAGATGTTTCATACTGTCTAATGTAGAGAAAAGAGAAGAAAAATAAAGACATGTAAAAAAACATGCAGGAAACTTTGTGTCAAGATATCAAAAATGCACACATTTACGTACTTTTAAAGATGTACTATTTTTATTTAATTTAAATATATATTTGTTTGTGTGCTTGTGTGAGTTTATGTACACCACATGTGTGCAAGTGTCTGAGGAGACCAAGAGTGCTGCTTCCCCTGTAAACTGGCATTACAGGTATTTATGAACTGCCTAATGTAAGTGCTAGGAACAGAACCTGAGTTGGTATTACATGGTGTGACACAGTGAAATGATATATAAAAACTCTTATAATTAATTATATGTATAGCTATATGTCCAGTTCCAGATAAAATCATATAATATTTTGTAATTTCCTGAGAGACAGGGTGATCAGAGAATCTTTGTCCTAATAGTTGGTCTTTGAATCTGGTTCCCATCACATCTCCTGTTGTGCAATATTCCTTTACAGTATGTGAAGATGTGTCACTGTGATTGGTTTAATAAAAAGCAAAACTGCCAATATCTAGGCAGGAGGTATAGGTGAGACTTCTGGACAGAGAGCACTCTGAGAAGAAGAAAGGTGGACTTTCTAGAGTAAGCACCACGGGCATTCCAAAGTGAAGGCTACCGAACAACGTAAAAGAATATAGTTTAAAAGAAATGGGTTATTTTAAAAGAGCTAGTTAGAAACAAGCCTAAGCTATTAGCCAATTAATAATAAGTCTCTAATACACTTTAACAGAGAAGAATTCTGGGGAGAGGACACAGAGAGAGGCATCGAGAAAGATTCTATGTAGTTGCTGAAGGAGTAACAGGCCCGGACATTCTCAGGTAAGATAAGACCACGTGGAAATACTTAGATTAATAGAAATAGGTTAATAATTAAGAGAAAGCTAGCCAATATAAGACTGAGCCATTAGTCAGTCAAACAGTCTATAATTATTATAAGTCTCTGTGCATCTATTTGGGGCTAAATTGCTGTGGGACCAGTTGGGAAAGAAACTCCATCAACAAAATGGCACCTACACGTGGGTCAAGAATTTCCATGTAAAACCCGACAAAAGCTTAAAAAGGGTTCTAAATGCAAAACAAACAAACAAACCAACAAACAAAAAACAGAGCTGTACCGGGCTTCCTAGTCTCACAGTTTCATGCAGGCCATAGTGCAGAGACTGTGGCATTCCAACTTGTACACAGCATGGTGGATTCCTGCCTCCTTTTTCTCTACAGTCTGCTGCCTAGGCTGCATCTCTAGGTGATATGTTGGGGGAGTTGTTTCTTCCTGCTGCTGTTGACAGCTCTCTGGTACCTGAAAGTATCTAGCATGTGGTGGGTGCCTAGCAGGCACTGTGTGAGTCTGGTCCTATGGTTTACCTTCACCTGGATTCAAAGCAGTAAAAACTCGAGTCTATGCATTTTAACTTATCTTCATTAACTATAATCTTAGCAGCAGAGAAGACTTGTCACTTTATCTCTTCCGATACAGATATAAAACGTCTCATTAAGAACTGAAGCATTTGACACGTAAAAAAATAAAACAAGTTTTAAATCTAGAAAAGCATTACACTGCTAGATAGTGAGTACGTACACTGTCAGCTAATATATTCAGGGGAAAACTGTTAATACACTCAGAAAGAGAGTCACACCCGCAGTAGAGAGGCACAGGCCTTGTGGGAAGACACGGTGTTTAAAGTCACTTCAAAAGCTAGCACACAAAAAGGCTAGGAGACACTCTTTGGAAGCAGCTTTGAATATCTTTTTTAGTCATTAGAAGGCACTTTTGATAGCTCAGAATCCAGAAATTGCTCACTCTGCTACATCTGACTCACTGTTTCCTGTTAGTGTCTTCCCTGCCCCATAACACAGCTCAACAACACCCTCCGTCTGTTTCGACATTTCATTCTAGCTACAGGGAATGGAAATTTTCTTGTAAGGAAGCATGCAACATGGACAAATACATTGCTGCCTGAAGAAAAAATCAGGAGTGCCTGGCATGTGCTGACACAGTGAGGGTGCCATCAGAAACCTTGGCCCACACCCAGGAAAGCCTGCGCCTCCACAAGGAATTTTGACACTATTTTACTCATATACTCCTGTGGGCAGGAAATGATGGGACTAGTTAAAAGAAGTGGAAGTTTAGCAGTTTCCATGCAACATCACATATGCACACTGAGTGATCAACATTTATGTCCCAGACTTCTCTCCTCCATTTCTTATATATAACTTAGCTGTAGCCCCAAAGATAGTTTACCTTTAAAACATGGATTGGCAAGTTAAGGTGACCTTAATGTTAACATTTCCTTACCAAAACCTGGAGGGTCAAAATTAAGTCTCTCATGACTCATGCTTTTGAGATTCTTTATTAAGAAAACAGATAAAGCTCCCAAGACACCTTAATTCTTCTGAAGGAATGCATCCTTAAGTAACAGA